GAGCGTGTGGAAGGCTGGACTGCCAGCGTCTCTGGGTAAGTGGCTTGCACTGCTCACAGGGGGGCTGCAGCAGCAATCGAGGCACGGCAGCACGTGCCCAGACACACGCGCGCACACACACACAGACACGAGCAGAGCACGTGCGCATTGTGTGTCTCCAAGCCCTGCGTGTTTGCATCCGAGGAGGAGGCGAGCCATGACGCTTTGGACTTGGCGTGGAGCATCGCCCAGCAGGCACAGGTGCCTTCACAGGCAAGCGCAGGGCACGTGGGGCATGTACTTCAATTTTAGCAACGGAAGCGTGGTCTGAGGCGACGGCATTGGGTGGGGCGGGCCCACGAAGCGCTGGCGACGGTCCTTGTTAGCTGCAGCGTGGCCCAACGCAGGAATCCGGTGTATCTGAGCCAGTCATCGCTGAGTGCAAGGCTGCAGCGGCTGGCAGAGCGGCAGGTGTGCGTTGAGAAGTCATGAGGCCTGCGCACTGCGCGCAGGTGAAAGCACGTCACGCCACCGAGAGAAGTGGATTCCAACGTGCTGCAACGACCGTGGCCAAGTGTGAGGAGCCGTCGGGGTCTCAGCTGCTATCACGGGGGCAGAGTGTGTTTCTTGTTCTGCCTGTGAGTCATTCGGCAGCTCTTGGCCTCTGCGCCAGGTGTGCGTCGGCAGCAGCGGGCCATCGTGTGCCAGGGTTGAAGGCAGAGGCCCGTAGGAGTAAGTGCTACCCGGCAGCAAGCTGAACTCGCAACTGCGCAGGTATCCTTGACAAGCAAGGAGACTGTGCTGGACACATCCGAGGCAAGCGGCGCAGCAAGGCGGACTTGCTTGACCGATGCGTCCCGCAGTCGTCGGGCGACATCCCGGTGCGAGGCATACGAAGGGGGTCACGTGGAAGCAGCGGCTGCGAAACCTGGCCGCGCGCCGCCCTCAGTAGCGGCGCCACAGATGCGAGAGTTTGCAGCGCTGGCTGCCAATGAAGATCGATGGCAGTGTGGCATCCCAACACGCTCTTTAGAGTGCAGCCCTGCCCAGGTACACTTCGAACGTGGTGGGCTCCGTGTGGCAAAGCTGGAGGGGGGGAGCACATGGCAACAAAGAGGGCTCCTCAATGAAGGACAGGCGGCCTTCCGAAGCATTACTTTCGCGGCGGAAATGAATTGAGAAGATATTGAGTGGTGAAAAAACGTGGGAGATCCGCGGCAGCAAGACCAAGAAGCGTGGCCGCATCGCGCTTGCAGAAGCCGGCTCTGGTATGTTGATGGGCGAGGTGTGCATTCTGGATTGCGTGCAAGTGGGTTCCCGGGCTGGCAAGAACAGCCCTTGGAGGCAGTGGGGTGAAGAGGCCAACTACCTGTGGAGTCCAGAAAATGTGGCCAAGCATTGCGCTCTGGACCCGGAGGAGCTTCAGTATCAAAAAGCGTACGCATGGGTATTGGCTGAGCCACAGCAGTATGAGAGGCCCAGGCCATACACGCACCCACGTGGCTGTGTGACATGGGTGAGGCTTCCAGCGGAAGATGATGAGAGGGGCGCGGCAGCAAACACAGGCAGCGAACACAAAGAGGAAGTCGGTCGCTTGACCTGCGGCGTTGGTGTGGTTTTGCCAGAAGCCGCAGTGCAGTGGACGGTGGCCGGCTGCTCCGCCCAACAGACTTTGGGAGACGGGGCGTGCGGTGTTCACGCGCTGCTCGGTGTTCCCAACTCAAGTGGCGTGCTAGAGTGTGCTGGAGCGCGGGGCATGACTGTGGAATCTCTGTTGTGGAGTTTGGCTTGCAACTCATGTGTTCACGCTGCTATTCTGCGTGAATCTTGGTGGCACGAACTAGCTGTTCCGGCTGCCTCAGGTGAGGCCCCGACGCAGGAGGCGAAGCTTTTCTGGTCTGAGTTCCAAGCCCGCTACCGAGAGGGCGCGGAACGAGTTGAATTGCGGGAGGCTTGCCGTACATTTTTCAAAAGTGTATCGCATGAAGGGCTGTTGGAAGTATGTGCAAGACTGGACTATGCCTCGACTGAGGCGCAGGAGCTGTGCTACGAACCTCGTGCTGGTCAGTATGTTGTTAAAGGGTCTGGCGGTCTTTGGCCAGAGGGCGGCCCACAGACCAAACTGGAGGCAATGAAGGACTGCAGGGCTGTCTTCGATGAGCTTCGCTTGGCGGTGTTTCTGCGGTGTCCTTGCTTGGTGGAAGTTGAAAGCAGTTTGCGGGGGAGTGACATCGACAAGGAGGCTTGTCAAGATGGCAGCTGCCGTGGCAGCTTTTCGGGAAGCGCCGCAGCAGACCACCGGGCACACAGGCTCTTTTCTGAGTGAAGCCTCCGCTGGTCTCAACGTGATCCTTGCAAAGGAACTTGGGAGGAAGCAATGGGTGGCGGAGGCTGTGGTGCACAGTGGGGCAGGACCATTCCAAGCAATCCTGCTGCGGGGTGCAAGTGGCGCAGGCCATGTGAGGACGCACTTTGAGCGGCTGCAACGCGTGGCAAACGCAGGTGTCGCTGACCTGACGACGGAGCGAAGACACTGCTGGAAGTGCAGGGTTTGCAGCGCCACCTTTTCTTCTTCGATCCTTGTGCCCGAGGGCGGCGTTTGCTGTGGCCATCCTGTGGAGGAGGGGGTCCAGCAGGCCGGAGGGCCAGCTGGTGATGCGCACGCAGCTACACTAGGACACGACCCAGCGACGCCAGGTGAGGAGCCAGACGCGAGGTTGCCCATCCCAGAGTGGGCTCTGCCAGCCTTGCGGCGCAAGGTGACTGAAGTGGCGGCAGAAGAAGCGGACGCCGACAGCAGGTCGGAGGCCGCGGGGTTGCAAGACAGCGGTGCGGAGAGGAGCGGGAAGCCGAAGAGGGAAAAGTTGCCGTTTGCTCACGGCACTGACGGCACATGCGAGTTTGAGCGCGCAGTGGATCTGGTGCTGGAAACATATCGTTCTGGCGGCACTGTCCATGCGGTGCTCCAGAACCTTCCACACTACAGTGCGCCTGAGCCTGGTCTAGCTGTAGCTTTTCCGTGGAGTCATTTTGCGTGCAGGTCAACACTGTTTAAGTTTAAGTTTGTCTGCCTCAACCGGTGTAAGCTCGTCAACACCGCACGTGCTTCAGGTGGAGCTGGAAGCACTGCCCTTCGCAGCTCTTGGTCAGCGACTGCAAGATCTTGTCGCAGCTTATGAAATTGATGGCATAGGGTCAACAGAGGCTGTCTGGTTGCAGCCCATGATCTGGCAAGCCTCATTTCTGCCACTTGCTGTTTTGGTTGAGGCCTGGAGCCGAGCCACAGGGCTACCAGCGCTTTTTTACATGGATGCCTTTCACGGCTTACTGCTGGGGTTGACGTGGCCAGCTTCAAGTGCCGGAGCCGCTACTGGGCCGTTGGAACCGCGCAGCCAGGGAGTGGAAAAAGCCCGGCAGTTGACTGCATGGTGGAAGCGCTGCAAGAAGTGCTGGAGCAACATCCAGATTTGGCAGCAGGCGAGGCGTGGGACAAGTTCCACATTTGCGATCCAAAGACGCACTGCGCAACAGTGGACAAACTGAGAGATGCAGATGGGTATCTGACAGTCGTTGCCGGGGAAGGCGGACCGTTGCTGTGTCCTTCATGGCCATCAAGCGCCACATGGAACCAAACCACGCATGTCAACCTGCAGCGCTTTCTGAACAGCGCAAATGGCGGCAGCGTCCCGTGGGAGAATGCGATCGAGCGGAAGGGTAAGAAGCAGGCGATGGAGGAGCAAGTCCGAGCGAGCCCCAATGTGCCTGGCGACCGGACGAACGTATCTATAGTTCTTTTCCAGCAGTGCTCTGTTTTCTCGAACTGGTGGGCGGCCGGCGAGCTGAAGCAAGCCATTGGTCTACCGCGGCGGTGCGTCTTTTCGTTTGGAACTGTGCGAGAGCCGGGGCCACCATGGCTGCAAGGGTTTGAGTCGGAGGTAGTCATTCCGCTGCTGAAGTGGGGCTTTCTTTGGATACTGAAAACGCTGGGTCCGAAGGCTCCGCTTTCCGAACGGGCCCCGGGCCTGAGCTGGCGCCTCGGCAGTGTTTGCCGGGATGTGTTCTGGCGCTACCGGCTGAAGTGCTTCGATGCCAATCAAAAGACCCACTTCGGGGAAACGTTTGCTAGCGGGGTGAACAAAAGCCCGTATTGGGTTGGCACCGTCGCATTGCTGGGCACTTTGATGGAACAGCTGTGGCCAGCTATGTGCAGTCCGGCAGCGGCAGTGGAGCCGTGTTCTGGGGAATTGAGCAGCGCCAGCTTCAAAATGGCAGCAACATTTTTCCACAATAGATTCTTGTGCGGCCTCGCGGTCTTGGAAGTAGACATGCGGCGCCGTGCACGAGCCGCGACCCTGCGCAAGAAAGTTGTCCACGAGGCCAGGCTGTTTGTGTAGGGGGAAGTGCCAAGGCTGCTTGAGGTTTGCGAGTGCCTGCATGCTCGCCTGCAGGCATCGCGCGAAGTCCTGCAACTCCTTCCGGAGTCTTCCTGGCAGCGGGTGGCTCGTTGAGTGGGCTCGGCGTTGCGGGGACCCGTTCAGGGGTGAGCCAGGGGAGCCACTACAAGCGGGTGACCGGGCAGCAAGAGCTTACGCAGAAGCAGTCCAGCACCTCACTGAGCGGGGGCTAGGGCAAGAAGGAGACATACTATTGCAGGGGCATGTAGCGAAAGGGTTTGCGAAGCAGCCATACTGGACACTGGCCCCTGCAGCACGTAAATTTCTGCAGGAGTTACACGTGCCTGCGTGGAGCTTTATAGTTTGCATATGTACGAGCCAGCCAGCAAGCCGGCGGAGCCAGGTGTGGCGGAGGAACTTCTGTCAAGACTCGAGGCTTCTTTGGGGGACACCGCAAGCGTGGCAGGATGCGTTGAGGGGGAGGTTACGCATATGCGGACCCAGCCGTGCCCCAATGTCGACCGAGAGAAGGCAGAGGGCCAGAGGCAGGGCCGAGCAATGCAATGCATCGCCTTGCCGCCTGTGGAAAGGAAGCATAGGGCAAGGTGCATGCGCACGCAACTTGCCATGTCACGCGCAGGGCGCCGTCATCTCCAAAGGCGGGTCCAAAGATCTGGCAAAGGACCACGAAGAGGCCGGGCCTGTCTGTATGCTGCCACTGCGGTGCCAAGTTCTTGCAGCTCACTTGACGCAGGGTCGGGCTTGACAAGGGCAAGGCTGTGTCGGCAAAGAGGCCAGCTGGGTCGTGCAGAGGGTAGTTTATACTATAGGGCTATAGGGCGGGTGTTGTGTTTGCGTGGGCGTGAAGGGTGCGTGTGTTTGTGTGCGCGCTGACTTTGAGCATGTAGCGTGATAAGCCCGCGCTCGTGTACCAGGCAGAGACGTGGCTACGGCGAAGTCTTGTATGACGGCACGCCGGACATCCCTGTTGTAACCTCCAAGGACTTCTACGCATTTCTCCGCAAGGAGCTCGCCAAGTCAGGCGCTGGAGCAGCGCGTGTTCGACTGCGGGAGCAGACAACCACACATGGCAGATCTATTACAGGTTTATGCGGCAAAGGGCGATGTTCAGGCTGCACGTGGAAAATGTTGGCCACCCTGACGCTGAAGCAAAACGGCAGCACGAATGTTTTGATCTCGTGCGACGGCAAGCGTGGGGAACAAGAGCAACCCAGTGGCACAGCCTTGTGGACGCACGCGGAGGCGGCTGCAATTGAGAAAGCTTTTCCAGGCGGGGCGCTGCTTTCTGCCAAAGGCATCCGCAAGGCACTTGAAGAGGCCAAGATGGGGTTGAAGCGCACGTCGTTGCAAATCAAGCAGTTTGTCAGCCGCGAGAACAAGAAACGGCGATCTGAATCTGGCGACGCTGGAACAGGCGTGCAAGGCTTGAAAAATGTTGTGTCGTCGTGGATCGACAAACAATCCGCAGCGTGGGTCGACGCTGCCTTGACAGAACTACGTGTACTGCAGGCGGCGGACTGTGCGGCAGGGCACTGTTTCTTTGCATGGTCTTGCCGCGGCTTCCTCAACAACCTCAAGGGAATCAAGAACAGATTGGTGTGCTTGGTTGTGGATGGGAAGCAAAAGATAGCAACTACGGGCGCGGTCATTGCGAGTGTAGGAGTTCTGTGCAGCAGCGAGACACCGAGGAACACAACATTGGCCCGCGACACAGAGGGCAAGAAGTTGCAGGCAGAGCTTCGCACCAACACGGTCCAGCTAGTTATGTAAGCCTATTTGGACGCAGAGAGCACGGACAATTTTGTTCGGTTCTTTCAGCTGTTGTGCGACACAGCGCAGGCAGAGTTCGGGGTATGCTTGCCCAGCCAGGAGCTGCACGCGCTACGCTGCACGCGATTCCTCCCAACAGCAGAGCTGTTCAGCGCTGTCTGGAAACTGATCTTGCCAGAGTTGCAAGCAGCTGGCAAGGGAGAGGTTGTGGCGTACCTGCGGGACGGGCTTCTGGCTGAGACGACGCTGCTCTGGGCAGATTACTGGAGCGGGGTGCTTGGCACACACCCAGGAAGCGCCACGGGGACCCAGACCATTGAGGCCTTCCACAGTTTCTGGCACGAGCAGATTCGCAGAAAAGCCCGGAGCAAGCCGGGCGAAGTTTTGCTCCGCATGCAGGGCCTGTACCAGAAGGAGTGGAAGGCACACATCGTGGCAGACTCAGCTACCCACAGGGCCTCACTGTGGCCAACAGAGCCAGATCCTCTGTTTGTAAGCGGCACAGGCCTGCACCGTCTGGGGCAAAACTCCGCCGAAGAGTACTGGGCAGCGCGACAAAAGCGGAATGTGCAGAAGGCCGAGGACAAGAGCACAAACACAACTTTTTATGTGCTTCGAGCCCAGAAGACTGACAAGGAGGAGCCAGCGCGCGCAAATGTCAGTGAGGCCATTGCCCAGCGCATTGTGCGCCTCATTCTTCTGGCCGGGCCTGACCTCGATGCAGCCTTGAGTGAGAGTGGTGTTGTGAGGCAGGTGGACACAGGTGCGTGGAAACTAGATCTCGCCAGCTTGGACCTGCTTTTCAATTGCCACTGTGTCGTGATGACCGGAGACCTGCCACGCAAGTACTATGCACGCTAGTACAACCATGCAGATGTCAAAGACAAGGCGGAGCGGGCGCAGTGCTCACATGTGTATTACATAGAAGCCTTGACAGGTCAAATCGACCTGAGGGCCCTGCCTCAGAAGCAAAAGCGCGGCCGGCCCAAGAAAAGGCCAGCAGAGGCAGAGCCGCAGGCGAAGAAGCGCTGCAAAAAGCAGTGACTGGTTCCTGAGCTGAGCGCCCAGCGGTCGAAAAGGTGACTTAGAGAGCTGTCTTGGCACGTGCAATCCTGATCAGCGATGGAGGAAAGCGCCAAAGGTGAACTTACGGACTCCCACACGCTACACGAGCGGCCCGGCTGAGCGAGGCACAAAGAGCCATAAGGCCAACGCGGGCTTGAGCAAATGATGCCGGCTGGGCCGGCTGGGCTGGGCAGTCTGACTAAGCGGGGCAGGCCAGGGAAGTGGCGGGAAGGAGCTCGGCCGCGTGTGGCTCTACAGGTGGTTCTACTGCCATCCCGTAGGAACAGTTGCCTTCTGGTAGAAGAGGATCTTTATGTGGTTCCTGGATCTATGCCGGAGAGAGTCCAGTATGTCAATATGGATGGATTGAGATTGGATTGTCCCTGGTGGATTGGATTACGTAGTATGCCTGCAAGCGCTCCGCTGTGGCTCTTTTATGTCTCGGTTGCATGCGTGCACGGTTGACAAAGAAAAGGCTTGAGCTAAATGGTTGCGTGGAGATCTATCATGTCGGAAAACACGAACCACCCCCCCCCCCCCGCTAATTATTGGCGGCGCCCGATGTTATTGCTCATTCTTCTTCCGTGTGGTTCTACTGGGGGGGGGGGGGCTGCTTGCCCCCCCCCAACCCCTCCGCTTGTTTGGCGGCGGCCCGATGTTATTGATCATTCTTCTTCCGTGTGGTTCCACTGGGGGGGGGGCTGCGGCGCCCGATGTTAATGAGCATTCTTCTTCTGTGTGGCGGCGCCCCGATGTTATTGATCATTCTTCTTCCATGTGGTTCTACGCTTTTTTTGGCGGCGCCCGATGTTATTGATCATTCTTCTTCCGTGTGGTTCTACTGGGGGGGGCTTATTGATCAGTCTTCTTCCGTGTGGTTCTACTGGGGGGGGGCTGTGCCCCCCCCAACCCCCCACCCCCGCTTTTTTTTGGCGGCGCCCGAGGTTATGGAGCATTCTTCTTTCGTGTGGTTCTACCTGGGGGGCCAACCCCCCGGCTTTTTTTTGCGGAGCGCGATGTGATGGATCTTTCTTGTCTCTGTGGCCCGGGATCTGCTTCAGGTAAGAACCGGTTGCTACTGATGGTTTGTTGGGACACTGGAAGTCCCTGGCTGTACCCCCCCCCCCCCCCAACCCCCCTGCTTTTTTTTGGCGGCGCCACGATGCTATTGATCAGTCTTCTTCCGTGCTCTTTTTTGCGGAGCGCGATGTGATGGATCTTTCTTGTCTCTGTGGCCCTGGATCTGCTTCAGGTAAGAACCGGATGCTACAGATGGATTGATGGGACACTGGAAGTCCCTGGCTGTACCCCCCCCAACCCCCCTGCTTTTTTCGGCGGCCGCGATGCTATTGATCGGTCTTCTTCCGTGTGGTTCTACTGGGGCGCGACGCTTTCGCAGGGGGTCAGGTTTCATTCTGACCTGTAGGGGGTTTATGTGTCGGCGGTCACAGGCTCAGATGACAAGCGCCAACCAGGTCAAAGCAAGACCATTTCGGGCGGGGGGGGGTTAGTTTTTTTTGGACCAGTAGGGGGGGTTTCTTGTCGCTGCGACCCTCGACCAGGTCAAAAAAAAGACCTCGACCAGGTCAGGAAAAGACCCTCACCCTCTACAAGGTCAAAAGAAGACCCTGTACAGGTCGAAAAGAACCATTCCCCGTATCCATCCCTGGCACATGGTAAGCGCACCCGCCCACGCGCGTCATCTCAGCACTGTACCCATGCCTGGCACATGATAAGCACACCCGTCCACGCGCGTCATCTCCGCATTGTATCCATGCCTGGCACATGGTAAGAACACCCGCCCACGCGCGTCATCTGATCATTGTATCCATGCCTGGCACATGGTAAGAACACCCGCCCACGCGCGTCATCTCAGCATTGTATCCACGCCTGGCACGTGGTAAGCGCACCCGCCCACGCGCGTCATCTCAGCACTGTACCCATGCCTGGCACAGGCAAAGCACACCCATCCACGAGCGCCATCTCAGCATTGTATCTATGCCTGGCACATGGTAAGAACACCCGCCCACGCGCGTCATCTCAGCACCCCCATCCGCGACCGCCCCTCGCCCGGGTGGGGGGTGCCGTCCATTAGCAGCTCCCTAGATTTGGTGCGGGTCCTTGCATAATTGGGGGATCCCTGTCATGCCAGTCAGCCTGTTTTTAGCAATTTATAGATATGTAATTCGGAGTTGGCCACAAAAGAACACATAAAGCTTGCGCGCTCCCTGAGGTTTCACACGCGGTCGCGCTGGGCGCACCGCATGTGGCCAACATTTGGCCGTGGCTCGCTGGCCTGGGCGTGCTGGTGGTGGCGACTGTCGTCCGGGCATTCCTTTGCAGAAGCTTGGCGCGAATGGCCTGGTGCCAAATAGCCTGTGCCTGTTGATTTACCCAAGGAACAACCAAAAAGGATTTTTTTCAGACCCTGTGTTTAGCTCCCAGATTGTGAGGGGCTTGCCTGGCCATAGTTCATAGTTAGTCGGTTTTAGGCTGCAAGGTAAGGATTTGCCACGTGAAATTTGCAACTAGGGCAAATTTCCGTTCCAGCACAATTCGGCAGGTGATTTGCATTAGTATATCTCAGCTTGTTAGCCCTTACCAAGTTAGAAACCCCATTCAACTTGATTTGGATTCGCAAATAGGAGTTATCAAGTCCTATTGACCGATGGGAAACAAATCTGCCCCGTCCTTTGGGATTCTTTTTGAATTTGCAGGGGGTACTTGCTTGGTTGGTGGGCAGGTGAGGACACGATCCATAAACAAAATGAGCGTGCAGACCCTTCAAAGGTTGCACGTGAGCAGTGGTTGGTGTTGTGATGTTTGAGAAGAGCCCAAATCTTGTTGACCACATCAGCAAGGGCTATGCCACTTGGTGGAACCAAGAGTCAGCGGGTTCTGGGCATACCGTTTTCGGAGTACCTTTAGAGGCAGCGCGACATGGGATCATGTTTGCAGCTGATGGTGCAACGACCACACAAATTGGGTCCCCTTGTTTTGACACATACCCAAATGTAACCAGTCCAAACACGACCTCTTCTGTTGGCAGTACAAATTTGCGAGGCGCCTGCAATGCTTGCCCCCCAAAATGGGAGTTCCTCTACCCTAGAGTTCAGTTGCCACCATTAAAACAATGGGGGTTAGTATAAACCCTATTTTTTTACGTAAGGAATTTCATCTTCCAAGTTGGGTCCTTGCCACTCTTTTAATGGGGCAAGGAACCCCAGGGTCTAGCTTGGTAATCCGTTCCCCCTAAAAAATGTCTCCCCAACAATAAATAATTGCTTCAGAAGTCCCAAATCCGGGAATACTACTTTTAGAATAGCCAATTCTAAACCAATTGTAAAGTAGGTATTTTCCTGCCCGTACTCAAATCCAGCCCCATTAGGGGGACCCGGGGACACGTTTCCTTTACTACGGTTGTACTACAAAGATGCGACTTTCGAGCCAGAGCTCCGGGAGCACGTTTCCTTTACTACGGTTTTACTGCAAAGTTGCGACTTTCGAGCCAGAGCTCCGGGAGCACGTTTCCTGTACTACGGTTGCACTACAAAGACGCGACTTTCGAGCCAGAGCTCCGGGAGCACGTTTCCTTTACTACGGCTGTACTACAAAGTTGCGACTTTTGAGCCAGAGCTCCGGGAGTACGTTTCCTTTACTACGGCTGTACTACAAAGTTGCGACTTTTGAGCCAGAGCTCTGGGAGTACGTTTCCTTTACTACCGGCCTCCACAATCAGATCCCGGGGGACCCCTAATAATAAAATTTGTTTCGCCGGCCGGGATTTTTTTAAAAGGGGGGGGCGTCGTTCATTATTAGGGGAAGGGAGTATGCGAAGCTGGCCTGAGGGGTCCTTGGACCCTGCGAGCTGAGGAGACAACGTTGCTGGCAGCAGCACTCTCGTCAGATATCAAGGGCTAGGACGGGAATCAGTGCCTTGGCATTCAGAAATCCTGGTGTCGCCTTTTGGAGAAACCAAGCGATTTGGGCGCTTTACCGAACAAGCTTTCTTGATAGCACATGTCCAAGTGGAGCTTCTCAAGTCTGTTTTTTAGGAGGCGGGTGTTGGTTGTTGAGGGCGGGGGGGGGGGGTCATCTTTTGAAGCGAGTCCACTTGTCCTTTCTTGCAGTTCCGGGCTGACTGTCCTTCAGCCAACTGTCAGATTTTGTTGATCATGTCAAGGTCGAACGTTCTGATCCCTTGGTTTCAGGGGTCAATCAAACTACGGGAACCCCCCCCCCCCCGCGCCAAAGGTCAAATGATGTTTGGTCTATGTAGCCCGGAAAGAGGTACCCTCAGAACTGGCCGTGTGCCGCTTGAGGCTGTTGAACCTTTGGAGAACGTGCCCAGCAACGAGGCCAAGGACAGAGACCAGCATATTCCTATGTCTCCGTTGGAGAAGGCGCTTAGCAAGGAAGACGAGGCCAAGGACAGAGATCATCTTATTGGTTTGTCTTCGCATTAGAGAGCCTGCGTGGGGTATTCCCCTTTGAACTCATAAGATGTCTTTCAACGGATCTGCCTCAAAATTGGGGGGGTTCCTCCTTGTAGATCTTTTTTGTGTTTTGTTTTGCCTGGGGCGGAGGAGGGGGGGGGGGCATTAAGATGTGTGAAGAAGATGAAACTCAGTTGCCCAAAGCGAATTGACCTTCCAACCTTTGGTTGCCCTGATTTGGTCCATGTTTAGTCAAGTCCTTTGGGCAAGTGAGGAACAGGAAACCTTGCATTTGGGGGTGGCTCTTGGATACGAACTCAAACATAACCTGAAGGAGCAAGCTGCAAAGTGCAAGATCCAGATGCAGGCAGGGCAGGCGTAGGACTCGAATCTGCAAGTTCCTTCTTTCACCCCGCGACGGATGCCAACGCAATATTTTTGCATGGGAATTGAGGAGGGATGTGTCTTTTCCCTCCAAAATGGGGATATCTGTACGTTCCTTTGGGTTTCCCAACAAAAAGCCCACAAGGGCTACTAGACGTCTCAACAAACAGACACACCCTCCGGAGCTTCAGGCTTGTGGGTGTTCGCCTTTCACTGCTGGCATGGAAAGCAACTGACGGGTATTTTTTTCATGTCTTCTTATGACTCAAAGTTCTTGCACTTCTGGGTCAACCATCACCATCACTCATGGTAACGCGGATATGACCTTGAGCCGTATGAAAAGCTCGTGGCAGGCAACCGGGGTCTGTGCCTGTATGCGGGTAAAACGCCAAAGCCCAGGAAGTTGTGAACGACACCAGATTAATGTTGACCCCATTAATGAATTCAGTTTATGAATAGGGGGCGTCCCTGGGTTTGGTGGGGAATCAGACCACTTTTGCTGGAACCCCCCCTATTTTTCTAAACAGGGTTGATCAATATGGAGTCAATATTCTGAATGCTCCAAAGATGGATGGCCATCCAATTGCTGGGAAACTCCCTCAGCACGGTCTGGTCACTCCGAAGTTCACATCTTGGGTTTCGGCCAGCAATCCCATCGATCGCATTGATATATTATGGCTGTGGGTCAAAACCAATGGGATCCCATTTTGGGGTAGGTGCGCCACCCATTTTAGAACCTATTTTAGTGGGATTGGGATGTTCACCGGGGGTACGGGCTTTTGACCCATGGCCATATACCTCTTGTTGTGGTTTCAACTTTATTTTGTGGGAATCATCCGTCATGGTGTGTTGGCGTGCTTCCCTTTTTATAGCAAACGTCACGGCATTGAAATCGGTGGCTTGCTTTTGGCGCGTGTCCAAGCATTGCAAGCTGTTCCCCGTTCCGGGAGTCAAGTACGGAATTCAGCCCAAGCCTTCAGGCGTTCCTCTATGCTGCTGACATGGTAATGGATGTGAAGGTTGGTATCGAGTTCTGCACGCGTGGCATGTTCTGGTTTGGCTTCGTCCTTCTCGCGATACCGGTGGTGTCGGGACTTCTTTGCTTCCTCTACAAGTGCCCTGGCGGTGCATTGTGTGTATTTACGATTAGTCTACATGTTCTATCTTCTAATGTTCTACGAATATGAACTCCGCTAACAGCATGGACACAGAAGGGTCTCCCTCAGGTGATAAGTAGCCTGTGTTCAACCCCCATTAAAAGAAAGTTTAAAGAAAGGTTGACCGAATTTGGATGATGATAATCCTTGGGTAAACAATGGTAGTGAAATATGAGCCCAACCATTGTTTTAGTGGTGGTTTGAATCCCAGGGGAATCATTTCCTCATGAATAGAAAACCACTTGCTTTTCTCTTAAGATTTCGCTGGTGTGCAAAAGCCTCAGCTGAGCGTACTTACTTTTTGCTCACCGGGGGTGTTTCAAGAAAAGTTCAGATGGATCCTACCCTTTTCGCATGGAACCTGACGTAAGGGAAAAGGACCATCTTGTCCAGGACCCCCCTGTCACGTCAGGTTCCTTTGTTAATTGGTGGGAGGTAAGTTGCCCCACATCTGGGGTATACAGGAAGTAACTTATTTGGCTCTATTGGTTTGCCCGAACAATGGGCGGGTTTGTTTGTGGTTACCAGTTTAAACCACCCAACAAAGTGGTTCCCCTGGAACATCCAGGTTCAAGTCTTGGGAGCTGGCTCCCTATGACCACGAGGAGAACGGCAGGGAAACCAAGTTCTTCTACGAAAAAAGGAGCGAGCCATCGGCCCGGCTTTTGCACTCACTTCCGAATTCGTCTTCCGAAATCGAATCAACGGGTCATTACTTTCCCACGGAAGGGTTGCAATGTTTATTTCCCGCTTGAGCTCTTTACTCTGAACTTTTTTGTGTTTGGAACATTGTGGCAAACCAAAGGCGGGGTGACTTGTTCTGTCCAATGCACTCAGGACCGTGAGGTTTCAACTGTTTTGGGAAACAAGTATTCCCTGTACCAGCATGTTTAGCCATGTCTTTTTGAGGTCTCTTCGAGCAACACAGGAACATACTTGGCCAAAAGCGACCCGGCATCGACAGCATGCTGCTACAGATGCTGCAGTTAGAAGGTCTTGTCACTGCCAAGTTGGCATATTATGACCCGCGCTTCAGAGAAAGCTGGAAGATTGAAAGAGCCTTTAACGGGCTGGTCGAAAGCTTTCCCTCTTGTCTGATACAAGCCTACACTCTGCTGTGCATGGCTCAACTGGGACACCTGGATGAGGTTTGGAATACCATCTGGCAGGTCTTCTCGATTATGCTCTCATGCCACAGTATGGCTGCAGCCGTGAAGCTAGGCATGACTTTGCTTCCCAGACACCCAGTTTTTGAGTTCGTCCTTCTTTTTTCTCCGTTTTCCCCCCCCCCCCCCCCCGGTTTTTCGGGGGGCTTTCCCCAAATCAACTGCCAAAAGGTGCCTTGGTGTTCCCACCGCAGGTGGGGAAATAGCAAAAGACCCACCAGCGCAAACACTCCATTGAACAATCAAAGCCAAAAGCAACTCAAGAGGCTTTGCATTTCCTTTGGAGAAGCCGGGCAAGATGGTGGGAAGATGGTCTCCCTCGTAGCTTCCAGCCAGCAAAATTATCCTCCGGGTTCCGTGCCCAGGAAATTGGTCTCCTTCCGCCTTTTGCCCGGGTACCAAGTATCTTCACTGCTCGAAGAGCATGTGTTTTTTTTGTTGTTGTTTTTAATTTGTTGCATTTTTTGTGGGGGCTGCAAACAACGCATTTGTTTCCTACCAAGATTTGGGAAGGTACTTCCTGTCCAGAGCAGCCCCATGCAGATGCCACAGCTGACGCTGCTGCTAATATGCGATGTGTCAGCCAGAGTATTTTGCTTCGCAGCCTTCGGACTGTGCTTTCGGCCTGCAGTTCGCATGTCTGAGAATCGGCAATTTGCTTTGCCCCTCTTAATGCTTGCGGAGCTGGCGGTCGTGGTGTGGCTGACCACGCGTTTCCTGAACAAGCGATGGTTTCACTCAGTTGAGAATACCCGAGATGCTGTTCTGTCCACGACCATCTCGTACTTCACGATTCCAGCCCTGGCATTACACACGCAAAGCAACGATGCAGTGGTTGACTTTTCGGGCATGATGAAATTGCAAAGAGTCATGTCCTACGGGCGAGCAGCAGAACTCTTCGTGACTCTTTGCCTGGTTTGGTACCACTGTCACATTCAGGTGTATGCGTCGCGCGTCTACATTAGGATCTTTGCATTGTGGTCTCTACTTGGCTTGGCGTGTGTGCTCATCACTCGCGCTTTTGATCGAGCAAGCCGGCATGAAGGGAGACCCATTTTGCCTGCTGTCGGCTCGCAAGGCTTTAGCCCAGCACATTGGGCTTGTGCCCTTGACAACGTGGATCTGCTGCGTAAGCTCGACGAGAAGGAGGATGTCATGGATGCTCCAGATGAGAATTTTCGGCACCCTGTCCACATAGCAGCACTATATGGGCGAGAAGACGCGCTGAGGGTCCTGCATAAGGTGAACGCAACTTGCATCATGGCGAAAGACCAAGCCGGATGGACCCCCGCGCACTGTGCAGCGCACATTGGGCACGAAAAGGTGCTAGAGCTCCTTTTTGTCTTGGACCCAAAGTGCATTCAGGAGCCGGATGAAAAGGGAAGGACCCCTGCACACTGTGCCTGGGCTATGGTAATATATTTCCAAGTTTCCTCAAAGGATGATTAAAAAAAAGAAGAAAAAACAATGAATAACACCCAAGGTGGATAATATCAGACTAAACAAGCAAGGTGCAGCGCAAAGTGGGCACGCTGCAGTGCTGACACTTCTTCACCGATTGGCGCCGGGCTCCCTCGCCGTGAAAGCAACCAATGGTGCGGTGCCCGCGCACATGGCAGCAGCACGCGGGCAAGTCGAGGCGCATTGCCGGCAGAAGCCACCGAATCCATTCGGAAGTGTTCGGGTTGGTCAGGGCAAGAGGATTGATAGGGGCCTGAAGACATCTGAAGACCGAGAGTTCCTCAGCAAAACACAAGCTTGGGCAAGCCACAAGCGCGCGCCGAGTGCAGTCATGCCCAGCCGTTTGGGAAGCCTTAGCATTAAAAACAAAAAAACACTTGGCCAATGCTCAACTCCAAATTTGGCCCATCTGCATTTCACGGCCATGGAGGTTTGCCTTTAAGCAACATATGTACTGAACAGGGGAGAAGTGCGAGCTGGAGCCGCTAATGTGAGCTTTCCACACAGCTGACATTGCCGAGTACATTTGCACAGTGGAGATGTCGTAAAGTGAACTTTGCATACTACACGCGCGCTAACACGTTTAGTTATCTGGCGCTGCCTTAAAGTGTACTTTGCGTACCACATCCTCTCTGAAAAAAAACGTTGCTCGGGCCAGAGCTTCCCTTTGAGCGCGGGAGCGGATCTCCGTTGAAGATATCCTTGGCCTCGTTGAGCCCTTGACATTTCACAGCAACAGCAAAGCCCCCCATAAACTTATAAGGGGCCACCCAGTTGAGTCTTCTTCAGAAACAGAGAACTGTTAGGCACCCGCCCGACAAACTCGTGCAGAGCGGGTATTTTGTTGGCAGCTCAACGAGCAATGGACAAGATTAATTACCAGTGTACCAGTGTTGGTGTGGGCCAGTAATGTTTCCAATGATGTACAATAACCTCGTCTTCAAGGTCGACCATGTCCCGGACAATCGGAGTTTGAAGGGTCGCCCTCAGTTTTCTGGATTACTCCGGAAATATCCGTCCTCAAAAGGGCTGCAATGAGTAGCAAACTACATGGTGCTCAGGGAATGAGAAATGGAGTGCCCCCTACAAAGCATCCCCCATGGTTTCTTTCCTAGGGAAGCCCCAGGCTCATTCCCTCATTCCCTGCTTTTAACACCAGCAAGAACCGGCTTTGGGTAGGCCCCTCTCAGATTCTCGTGGTTCAAGTCGAGCAGGTCACGCGTAAACCGGCGGCCCTTAGAGTTAAACAAAAAGCACCGCCCGAAATGCGAGGCTTCCAAGTGCAATTTTAAGGAAGGACATCAAATTTACCCAGATGAAGATTGAAGGGGCCCGGTTCCCTTTGAGTGGTTTGCGATGTAGGTGCTGGATGTCATAAAGGAGCTGTGCGTAGACTCCTTGAATAAGGTCAACAAGAAGGGTGCGCTTTGTGCGCACAAGGCAGCGCATCACGGACACGTGAAGGTGCTCGAGCTGTTGCATGACACGCACCCGGAATCCTTGAAAGCCCGAAACCACCACGGTGTCTTGGATGCCATTTCGACCTTTTTTGACTTGTTGCTTGAACGTGTGTCCTTCGCTTACCACCGCTTAAGATACCTGTTAAGTGATAACGAGCAGTTTCTCAACCTTATTTTATGTTCGAACAGCAGGCGTTTCTTTCAAGGCAGGCGCCTTTTAGATCTTCTGAATGTGTCCCAATTCATAGGCGACCGGCAATGCTCCGGTTTTTTGTGACCTGGAAGCACTCCAGGTAAGACACCGGCACACAACGCGGCACACAATGGACACGAGGAAGTTTTGTGTCGACTTCACGCGTGGGTCCCGACGACTCTGAGTGCCCAGGACAGTGCTTCGTGGCGTCGACTTACGCCTGAAACGGCGCCCCAAGTTTCCCATAGCTCGAAAGAGGGTAGGAATGAAACCGGCCAATCTTTGGAGAGTCTTGGATCGGATTGGTTTGTGAAACTGATCGAGCTGTTTTTTTTTGGTGCTTGGTGGCTTCCGACGAATCGGAACCAGATTTCCCGCGAGCTTCCAAGTGTTTGGTTAAGCAACTGTTCGCATTGCTGCCTTGATGGCTCGGAGCGCGCCGCTTCAGAGATTTCGGTGGGTGCCATTGAGCCCCTTGCAGGGGAGAAAACGGACAGCAACCAGTACTCAGTTGTTGAGTGGCACCTATTATTTTCCCCTTTTTTTGGTGGCTGCCCCACTAAAAATGGTCCAAGCCCCAAAAAGGGTTCCCTTTTTTTTCCAGGGTCACTGAACAACTGAGAGCAAGATGATGGAACAGATGGCCAAGTTTTCCAAAGATCCCCATTCCGCAGATGTTGGTATGGGTCAAAATTAAACCACCAATTGACCGCAGGTTTCAGGCCGTGGTTCCATTTACCAGGGCAACCCATTTTGAGGTTACCCTGTTTTTGACTCACAGCCATGCATTTGTGTGGATTCCCAGCATCCCCCCACTTACCACGGAACCTGACGTTCGGGACCCGGTCCCTTTAAAACCATCAAATGTGGGGTTTCTTTTAATTGGTGGGAGGGTATCCCAGGACAAGGATGGAACAGTCCCAGCACATTGGCCAGCACACAACGGCAATCTTGCTGTGCTGAAGCGCCTGAAGCTATTGGCCTCAGAGACGCTGAAGATGAGGCGAAGCGTAACCCACAGCCCAGCCGTAACCCTGAGCCCAAAAGTATTGCTCGAGGTTCATTCAACCCCCCCAAAAGACTGGTCGGCCGTATTTGGCTGAAGTTCTATGCTGGGCCTACTCAGTTGTTCAGTGGCACCATTTGTTCCTTTTTTTTTGGTGGCCCCACTAAAAATGGCCCAAGCCCCAACAAGGTTCCCTTTTTTCCAGGGTCGCTGAACAACTGAGCCCATGATTTTGGCTGAGATGAAAGTCGGAGACTGGAATCGGTGGTGTCCCTTAAACCTACCACTTGGCTGACTTTGAGAGTTGATAAATGGAGCGATCGAGTGGTGTAGCTTGAACATGCTGATATAAACTGTAAGGTAAACCTAGTTTGAGCACCTCAGGGTTTAGCAAGCCCCTCTACCCGCTGCCCATGTCCCTGTGTTTTATTTGGATAACCAACACAAAAGACGGTCCCAGTTGAAGAAGAAGAAGAGGAACATGGATCGAAGGGCTAGTGGCAAAACACCTGGGAACCACTGGGTTCGATTTCTTTCATGTTGGGTGAATGTTGAACAACCCTGTCAGGAACAATGAAGGTTGGGCCCCCGCCCACATGGCCGCACGCAACGGGCATATCGAGGTCTTGGAGTTTCTTCTCCAAGAGGCTCCGGAGTCCTTGAGGCACAAAAGCAATCATGGATGGGTTCCCGCACATCTTGCAGCTTCGCGTGGGCATGATGCGGTGCTGGCCATGTTAAAGGACTTCGGGTGTGACTGAAACCTTTAAACTCCGTTTGAAGCCACCCCAGAAACAGTTCCAACTCCGAAAAGACAACCACTTCTGAAGCTGCTGAAGGAAAAGGCCGAGGATACCCTGGCTGCTCAAGCTGATGACCAGGCCATCCCTGCGCATGCAGCAGCAGCACAGGGGCGCTGCACAACGCTGGAGCTGTTGGAGCAGTTGGCTCCTGGGTGTCTCCGCGCAAGAGATCGAGATGGAAGGGTCCCTGCGCATTACGCCGCGGAGCAGGGACAAGCAAATGCGCTGGTTCTTTTGGCAAAGTTGGCTCCAGAAACCCTTATCGCCAAAGCCGGGGGTGGTGTGGCCCCCGCACACACGGCTGCACTGCATGGGCAAGAAGAAGCTCTGACGTGCCTGCAACAGTCATGCCCGGAGTCTCTCGCTGCCACTCGGTTGCCCTTGCAACTTTTGACCTTACCGTTTGAAAAGGAGAAGCCCAGAGCCCCAACAGCCCCGGAACCCACCGGTTCGTTTGAATTCCCCAAACCACCCGGAACGAGCTTATCTGGGCCGATCGAACCATAGCCTTCAGCTGTACTATGGCGCTTTTGGGCTGAAGACCGACTCAGGCTACAGACGACAATGGTGCGGTGCCTGCACACATGGCAGCGCATGGCGGGTATCCCAATGTCCTCGGGCTGTTGAAGGAATGGGTCCCGGAGTCCCTCAAGTGCCCGGACAAGCTTGGACGAGTCCCGGCGCATGATGCAGCAGAAGGAGGGCACGAGGAGGCACTGAAGTATTTGCACTGGGTTGCGCCGGAGTCTCTTGGGGTCAAGGACAACGAGCATGAGTGGACGCCCGCGCACGCAGCAGCAGCAAATAAGCGTGGACGCGTGCTGGACATGCTGCGTGAATGGGCCGCGGAGTCTCTTGAGATCGCAGACAAGGACTCACTTGGGTGCTAAATGAGGCTGCCTCCAAGTGCGCCCCTTTTGTTTTGGGTTTGGTTTGAAGGCAAACGACAATGTAGGCAGTGCGATTCTGTGGTTTCTCCAAATCCCGGTGCCTTTTGTTGTCTCCAGGGGTTAGAAGCTAGAAGCCTTGTCAGTCAGCCCAAACCGGCAGCAGCCTTTTCGGGTCAGCCCAAACATGGTCCAAGGACGGGTATCTTCCGGACCAACTTCTGCAGAAGGGTGGGAATCGGAGGAACACGATGCGTGTGACCATGCGCCCGTCCACCCAGATATCCATGGTGATGTCTGTTAAAGCGTAAGCCTCACGTTGGAAGTCACCGTTTTGGATGCACGACTTCCTCGTGTGGATTCCTCGTGAGATGTACCAACATGCTTACAGGTGAGACCTCCGAAGTGTGCTAAACAACAAGTGAGCCACAATCGAAACCTGGGTAGATGAAGGTTAGTAAGGGAAAGACCCAGCCAGAAATAGTTGCAGCCGCCTTCCTACTTCTTTACATGGTTCTGGGTTCACCATTTTTGTACCGATCGGTTTTGAGCAAGTGACTTAAGTGACATCGGTCATTTCGAGCTCGCTCCTTTGCACAGATTGCAAGGGAACCAAGCCCAGTGCTTCCATGCCAGCCACTTGGCAAGAAAACAATCCGGAAGACCAGACAATAAAGCCAGGCTCGTAAGAAACGCCGGGAAGCACTGCCCAGCAGAAGGTGGGGTCAAAATGTGAAAAATCTCGCGCAGGGCTGGTGTTGAGGCACGTTTGCAATCAGAGGATTCCACCCCTTTGGTGGATTCCAATAGTGTTCCTTTCTTCTATGCCACTTCTCGATTTAGATGCCCCTCAGTTACATTGAGGGGCCCGAAGGATGATTGCTCTTCGCACCAAACAGAGGTATGTAGCCATTGTTGGCTGAGAGCCTGTGGGCTCGCCCACGAATATGATTCAGCGGGCAGCTGAAACAATGTTTCCGACGAGAGGATTTGTTTGATCCGTTTCACATCTGGAACTTTTGCTGCGAGCACTGCGAGCCCTGCGAGCCATCCCCAACAAATTTGGGTCCTTTCTAGACAATGCTGGACAAACGCAAGGCACCGACTAAACGTGATTCTCAAAAGAGCGCCGCCCAGCAAAAGATTCAACAGGCGAAAGGACCACAGGGATGTATTCCAGCTGCATCCATCTTGTGAGAGTTGCGGGCACTGCGCTTGGGCAAAAGAGCGACGCATATTTGGGTGCGGGGAAGTCCTCTTTCCACATGTTGAGTTCGAAGGAACCACCACCAATTGGTGTGATGTTGACTGAGCTGAAACCAATTGAACCCCCCCCACTTCAGTTTGCAAGGGATCTCCTTTTGGGGTCCATGGACCCCTCGTTTGGGTTCTTCCTGTTAAATTAGAAAGGCGTACCTTCCCCTTTCTTTCCAGGGACCCCTGTTTAACTAAAACAACCCAATCAATCCAAAGGAAACGGATCCGGTTTTTGAATAGAACGATGGTTGAACAGAATGGTTGGACTCAAACCCTACCTGGAGTCTCTATGACCCTTTAAAGTGGGGTCATTGCCAAAAAAAGGGGGTCATGCCCAACCATTGAAATGTCAGAAGGAGACTCCAGGTAGATCAATTCTGTAAGCCCAAGAAATTGAGTCGGAGCCATACGTGACCAGCCAACAAACCCATGTCAATATATATATATATACATGTTATATATATACATGTTTTTCTTTAAAGGTTGGACCCTCAACGTGGTGGGGTGTCCTTCTAACATGTTGGTTTCCACCCAAAAGAGGGGGTAGTTTTCGAGCCTCCACAAAAGATGTTTCAGACCTAGGCGCCCTTCTGACGGATGAGCAGGAACTGACGAAATGATTCTTACTTCCCGAGTTCCTGGACTCTACCTGGAGTCTCCATGACCCCTAGAAAAAGGGATCATAGCCCCTTAATTTTGGGTAATGCCCCCAAAGGGCGCACACCAAGTGTTTAGACTTTTTATTTGTCCCATCTCAAGTGAGGACGGGTGGTCACTGTCGATTTGGGGAGTGGAGGGAATCCAGTTTAGCCCCATGCTCTTTGTAGGTAAAACAAGGCAGTTTTGTCCGTAACATGCCATGCTCCTGAACTTGGCTGGCATTTGGCTGGACCTGGGCTTGGCTGTTTCGTTTAGCCGCCGACTCTGGCTGGTTTCCTGTTGGTGTCTCTTTACCTGGAGTCTCCATGACCCTTTGAAAATGGTTGGTCGTGACCCTTTAAGATTTGGTGAATGACCAACCATCTGACTCCAAACCCATGCGACTCTCAAATCCAAAACGAGGTCCAGGTATAAACCAGATCCGGTGAAGGAACGGCACGGAGCCTGGGCCTGGAACCTTCCGATTTTTTTGCTTGCCCCAGTCGCTTTGAGCTTTCCAGGCTCGACCCTTCGAAGCAAAGCGCATGGCGTTCCTCTCAAGCCCCAGGTTTGTTAGGGAAACTTACCCTCCAGACTAACCTGGGAAGCTCCCAGGTCCCTTTGATAAGACTTGGTTCCATTTGCAGGATCGGCCTTCTGGGAGCTTCCATGTTGGTCTGAGGGAGTGTACATTTCGGGCGACTGACGCAATGAGTCCGACTGCAGCTGTTCCTGCTTGCGTTGAACCCCAGGGCTACGATTGGTTTTCCATGCCCGTTGGTCAGCCAGTGCTGTTTTTGGCGTCATGGCCCACGTCAGCCAGTGCTGCTTTTGGCGTCATGGCCCACACCATGTCAGGATTCCTTTCAGAGAAGAGAACCCCCCCCTTCAGTATGTGGGTGACCCCGAGATGGTGTTGTTCCTTTCGAAATCCCGAAAAAAGAAAAAACACATCAAGAAAAGGCACCCAAAAGGACATGCCCATTTCTCCAGGCAGTCAGCCACCTCTCAACAGGTGGGTGTTTCTAGAGGCATGTCTTTGGGTTTGAAAGGACTAGGAGCACATCTTGGGCTCGGGTTACAGTTTGTTTCTTCTTTGAGCCAACAAAAAAAGGCGACGGCCCGTTCTGCCAATGGCGACCGCATGGATGGCCGCGTTCGCCCTGATGGTTTGCTGTCGTGCGAAGCATCTTGACTGTCCATGCATAGTTATCCACTACTCGCTCCCCGAGTTTCTGGACTTGTTACTTCTTGGGAAGACACATTTAGTGGTAAACCAAAAGTGCAGACTTCGGGCAAATTCACGCGGGAAGTGAGACTTTGAAGCAACTGGAAGCACTGGGAATCAGCGAGCCAAGGCATTTGCGATGCTCCGATGCTCCGTCCTGGCATCAAATCCAGTGCTTTCTGCATCAGGATGGGCAGGTTTTGGCGCAGAGCGCTCATGCACCTAGATTCCAGTGGCGCTTTCTTTGCCTTCCGATTTTCGAAAATTTGGGCGTGCCGTTTCTTGAGAGTCTCATCTTTTTGTGGTTTTCAACTCAAGGGAAGCCAAGAGAAAAACCACCAATTTGGAGATTCCTCTAAAACAAGACACGCCCTTTTGGAAATGATGTTTAATAGGGAACTACCTCACGTGGTGGTTGCACATAAATCCGCGCCTACGCGACTTCCACCCACGGGGCCCCTATTTCCCCCCCCCCCCACCCACCCATGTCTTAGGACCGCCAGACAGATGGCTATCCTTTTGGATGTCAACCTGAAAAAGGGCACTCAAAAAATGGAAGCCCTTCTGTTCGCGTGCCGACGATCCTAAGATGAACAACTAAAAACACGGCATTGTTTTTTGCATTGCATCTCCAGACGAAGCTGCTGTTGAGGAGGGTTCAACTTTTGAGACCAGCAACTAAAAGTGGATATGGCTCCTTTCTTGCCCGGTTAAATTGGCAAAACGAAAAACACCACACAGTGTTTTGTTATCCTTGTTATTCTACCTTTGTTGCCCAGTGGTGCGCCTGTGTTTTCCTTTTCTTGGGCAAGGGTTCCCCTTAAACTCAACCAACAAAGAAAGGGTGCCCTTTTTCTCCCATGGCTAATTACTGGGCATCTGAGACACTGCCTGCGTCATTTGAGTCAAGGCAAGTGTGTGGACTGTCCTGGCACTCAGTTGTTCAGTGGCATCCTTTTCCCCCCTTTTTGGGTGACTGCCCCACTAAAATTGGTCTTCCCCAAAAAGGGTTCCCCTTTTTTTCCAGGGTCACTGAACAACTGAGGGCAGTTCAGCTTGTTTGCCTTCCGTTGCATGTTTGACGCTGGTTAGGTTCTGTCCGTTGACCAGTGAACCAGCCAGAATATGGCGAGTGTGGTCACGTCTTTCTGCAAAGCCTGAGAACTCTATAATTTCCCCGTGTCCGTTGCGGGAAACATGTTTTCAAGTTGCTAATACTGTGGATGGACGAAATCCTCCACCACCTAAGCAACCATAAAACACCATTGTTTGTTGGTATTTATATAGAGGGGAATCAACACTCCAGGGTGTCTTAGGTGGTGCGAAATGGATTTCGTCCATCCACAGTATGATATAGACCGATAAGGAACCACCAAACAACGGTTCCAGGTAAGCACTGCTGTCCGATTGCGGGCCCACTGATATGCTGGCAACATCGAATTGTGTTTCTCATTACGGGTGGTTTTCCTTTTGGGTTCCCTTCAAAACCAGAAAAAGATGAGACTCTAAAACGACGACACACCCAAATGCCCTCCCTCCCACTAACATGGCAACTGAGAGGCGGTCCCTTCAAAAGGAAAATCATCTTCCAGGTACCTCCCCACAGGTGCTATGTTAAGTTGGAGGAAGGGCAATTAACCAACAGAAGGAACCAGCGCCACTGGGGTCTTTGGCATTGCCAATATCCGCCAGACCTCCAGTGGCGCCCGCATGATTCTTTGATTTGCAGGTCCCTTTTGATGCCGAAAAAACAGGGCAGCCATGCCTGACAGACTCCCTTTGACGAAAACGTGGTTTCCTCCATTCTCCTTTGTGGATCCTCCAAAAGTTGCTGTTTCAACGGGAGCCATCGGTCAATTGCAATCTTTGAAGGGGAAATCCAGTGACCCCTGCAAAAGCTGCGAGAATTGTTTCATTTGCTTTCACACCTGGAGTCCATGACCCTAAATAAGCTCAGGTGATATCCCCAACAGCATGCGGCGCTCGTTTTAGTGCTCGCACCACCCTGGTGGAACCCTGGTGGAACCCTGGTGCAACCCTGGTGGAACCCTGCCCTCGTGGAACCCTTACCTCAGGGCTGCCCCGGACCACCCCGGAGCCTATCTGGGCTGAGACCCCAAAGCTTTCAGCTGTTGGGGAAAAAATGGTTGGTAATTACCCAACATACTGTGGATGGTTGCGAAATCCTCTTAGGCACCACCGATCAGAAACCCTGGTTTCTGTTGATTCCCCTGTAAATACCAACCAACCATGGTTTCCCATAGTTTCCATCTGGTGCAGGATTTGGTCCATCCACAGATCATGGATCTATTTTTCAATCGTGGAGACTCCAGGCTCTAGTTTTGGGCACGACCCAAGGTCTTAGAAGCGGCCGCTGTTGCTTGGGTCGCGCCGATCACGACGGCGGCGATCGCGACGGCGGCGCTCGCGATCGCCGCCGCGGGGCTGTGGTGGTTGCGGAGAAGCTTGGGCCCGCCAGAAGATTTGAAGAGCGCATCAGTTGTTTTTGGGCGGCCTATTTCTGGGCCACTCTGTTGTCAGTGGTTTTGTGCAGTTTTTGCACCTGTTATTGCAGGCTTTGTCCTGTCTTGGTCGTTTTGAGCAAAGGCACTGGGGAGGGGATGGAAGGTGATGGGAGCGAGGGCGGCTTGCCAGAAACAAAGGTTCTCGATAGGATGTTGTTGTTTTTGTTTCGAAAGGATCATAGCATTGTGCCTTAAGACACACAGAAACTCAGAATTCAGATGGTGTTGATCTAACATTACTTTGCAAGCACTCCTATAGAGCAGGTTCCCTCCTTTTTGGGGTGGTTCAGGAGGCGTCCCCGATTTCGAAAAGCCAGTTCCACCAATCTTCAGGAGCTTGACGTTTTTTTGTTTGTTTGTTTTTTTCTGTTTTCTGGAAGACCATATTCTTGTTGAAGGTTCCAGTGGGTTCCACGTTAATGGGCGGGTAATACCATATCTGATGTTTTGGGGTCCCTGTTCTTGTTTGCTTTCCCACAGCCAGAAACAGAAGCAGGGGCAGTTGAGCAGTGCTCAAAATCACCATTGGTCTTTGCAGTAGGTGGTTCTACTTCCTTATTGCATGCGGGCTGTAGGCTAAAGCTATATCATATATGTATGTATACTATATATATATATTGGATTATATTGTAAATATATATATATATATATACATGTACGCCTTTTGAGGATACCCTTTGGTAGGGAAAGCGGCCATTTGGTCGGTTCTTCCTCAGATAGGCCAAGCCTGAAAGACGATGCTAGAACCACAAGTCTCCCGTTTTGGGCGCTTGACTCGCCCCTGGACCCCCTCTCCGGTGTCACCTGAGGAGCTGAGGATTACGAGATGGTGGGCATAAGAAGCCTTGCGAAGGACAAACGGGGCCGTTGACGGCGTGCGTTGCAGATGCCCAGGGGTCGGAACTGGTTGAATCTTTCGGATTTGTGTGTGTTACCGTGATGTATGGCTTTGTAAGGGAACAAGTTGAATCCCTCACATTTGGTTTTTGCCGCGATGTCTCACGGTGGTTGTGCTCGAGCACGGTTGGTAAAATCTTGCGCTACTTGAACCATTTAGCCTAGCCTCAGGGGGGGATCCCATGTTTCGAACTTCAGATTGGGGCGTAGGTGTGGTTCTTGTGGGGTTGTGGGAAGCCACCCAACCAATCTAAGCAAATCCCAGATCAACGAATTGGCGAACCGGAGCAAAAACCGGTTTGCGTCCGACAGGACCCCGTTTTTTCCCGACGCATCTTCCGTTTACTTGTTTGGGAATGTGTATACAGATATCAGGATCTTCAGGAAGGAGTTTCGCCAATCCAAACCGATGTTAATCTGTTTGGGAAACACAATATGCGTGTATGTATGTGTATAAATATAAGTATATATATATATGTATGCGTATGTGTCTGATGTTTGCTATATATCACAGGTTGCCAAATGGGGGGCTGCTTTGCTGTAGACACACGCGCTGGCAAAGGTGGTTTTCTTTTTTTTTCCGCCAACCATTTTTAGCTCGCAAAAGATGCATTTTCCCGCTAAGGATCGTTCACCTCAAACAGTGTGGACAAGGCGTATGTTGCCACGGAAGTTTGCTGTTTTCGGTGAGGCACTTAAACCTTCAGGAGAAGTGTATTTTCTGGGCCTGCGGCCTCTGGCCGGCTACGCCTCTTTGAAGTTATACCATGTCATGTCATGTTTTTGTATGAGAAACGCATCCTGTGCTATGATTTGGCTGGTTCCAACCCCAGATGATGCCGGGGATGCCAGCCTTCTGGGCCCCAGCCGAGCCCCAACCCAGAAGGCTGACATGGGGTCGCGCGCGCGCGCGCCAGAGGCCGCAGAAACAGCAGCCCAAAAAGAACAGCCCGCAAGCCAGCCCGTCACCATCATCATCATCATCGTCATCATCATCAGCGGCGTCATCATCATCATCATCATCATCATCATCATCGGCATCACCATCATCATCACTCTTCATCATCATCATCTTCATCATCATCCTCAGCAGCATCATCAGCAGCATCATCATCATCATCGTCATCTTCCCGTAGTCTTCCGTCATCTTCGTGTAGTCTTCCGTCATCTCCCCGTAGTCTTCCGTTATCTTCCCGCAGTCTTCCGTCATCTTCCCATCGGCTTCCCGTAGTCTTCCGTCAGCTTCCCATAGTCTTCCGTCCTCTTCCCGTAGTCTTCCCGCAGTCTTCCGTCATCTTCCCGGGTTAGGGGTTAGGGGTAGAGGTCAGGGGCAGAGGTTAGGGTCAGAGGTCGAGGGTTGGAGGTTAGAGGGTCAGGTGAGGTTAGGGTTACAGGTTAGGGTAAGAGGCTGGGGGTTAGGGTCATCTTGCCGTAGTCTTCCGTCATCTTCCCGTCATCCCGTAGTCTTCCGTCGTCTTCTCGTAGTCTTCCGTCATCTTCCCGTAGTCTTCTGTCATCTTCCCGCACTCTTCCGTCATCTTCCCGTCAGCTTCCCGTAGTCTTCCGTCATCTTCCCGTAGTCTTCCGTCATCTTCCCGTAGTCTTCCGTTGTCCTCCCTTCCCGCACTTCCGTCATCTTCCCGGCAGCTTCCTGTAGTCTTCCGTCATCTTCCCGTAGTCTTCCGTTATCTCCCGCAGTCTCCCGTCATCTTCCCGTAGTCTTCGGTCAGCTTCCCGTCATCTTCCCGTAGTCTTTCATCATCATGATCCATCCTCACGGTTAGTGGTTAAGGTTAGAGGTTAGGGTTAGAGGTTAGGGTTAGAGGTTAGGGTTAGAGGTTAGGGTTAGAGGTTAGGGTGATAGGGTTAGAGGTTAGGGTTAGAGGTTAGGGTTAGAGGTTAGGGTTAGAGCTGTTAGAGGTTAGGGTTAGAGGTTAGGGCTAGAGGTCAGGGTTAGAGGTTAGGGTGAGAGTAGGGTCATCTTCTAGTCTTCCGTCATCTTCCCGTAGTCTTCGTCATCTTCCCGTAGTCTTCCGTTGTCTTCCCGTAGTCTTCCGTCATCTTCCCGTCAATTCCCGTAGTGTTCCATCAGCTTCCCGTAGTCTTCCGTCATCTTCCCGTCAGCTTCCCGTCTTCTTCCCGCAGTCCTCCGTCATCTTCCGTCATCTTCCCGTAGTCTTCCGTCATCTTGGTGTAGTCTTCCGTCATCTTCCCGTAGTCTTCCGTCATCTTCCCGTCAGCTTCCCGTAGTCTTCCGTCATCTTCCCGGCATCTTCCCGCAGTCTTCCGTCATCTTCCCGTCAGCTTCCCGTACTCTTCCGTCATCTTCCCGCAGTCTTCCATCAGCTTCCGTCATTTTCCCGTAGTCTTCCGTCATCTTCGCGCACTCTTCCGTCATTCCCGGCAGCTTCCCGTAGTCTTCCGTCATCTTCCCGTAGTCTTCCGTCGTCTCCCGTAGTCTTCCGGCATCTTCCCGTAGTCTTCTGTCAGCTTCCCGTCATCTTCACGTAGTCTTTCATCATCATCATCATCCAGCCTCACGGTTAGAGGTTAAGGTTAGGTTAGAGGTTAGGGTTAGAGGTTAGGGTTGGAGGTTAGGATTAGAGGTTAGGGTTAGAGGTTAGGGTTAGAGGTTAGGGTGAGAGGTTAGGGTTAGAGGTTAGGGTTAGAGGTTAGGGTTAGAGGTCAGGGTTAGAGGTTAGGGTTAGAGGTTAGGGTTAGAGGTTAGGGTTAGAGGTTAGAGTTAGAGGTTAGGGTTAGAGGTTAGAGTTGGAGGTTAGAGGTTAGGCGTGTCAAAAATCCGCTGCGAGACCCCCCCTCCCGTCTCAGACTCCCCCTAACCACCACTTAGAACACGCCTCGCCCCTTTGCAGAGACTGACTTGGCTTTTGCAAAGGAGTCGGCGGATTTCGGCGAATCTCTGGCGGCCCTAAAACCGTGCTTGCTCCAAAGCTCAAAATGACCAAACCGCACTTGGGTAGAAAATTTGTTCCGTGTCTCCCAACCTCAAGACGATTACTTGCTACACCACAGTTTGGGCAGAACAATGTTTACCTGGAGTCTCCATGACCCCAACTGTCCACCAACTTGTGACGTGGTCGAATTGGACTCAACTCTGGCGGGTCACACCGTTTGACCAGGGCCCACCACGTTGTGTCATAACTGCTCGCTCTTGTTGTTGGTCTTTTGTTTCTTGTGTTGTTTTGTTGTTTTATCTTGTGTTGGGTTCTGTTTTATTCTGTCTGTTGTTTTGGTCCTTCTTAATTTGGTGTGTTGTTTTTTGTTTGGTCTTTTGTTGGGTTCTGTTGTTTTGCTTGTTTCGTTTGATCTTTTATGGGTAGATGTGCAGCATTGCATTGCAGCTCTCAGTGGGCATGTATGGAAGGCCCGGCAAGTGTTGACTGAGCCGTGACACTGGGAATTGAGGTGAATTGTGGTCCTTATGTTTGACGCAAGTGGTTTTGGCAGTCTCAGAGGAACCCGCTACCGACACAGGACATTCTATAGGACATTTGCCAACTACCCACCCACAAAAGTCAGGGGATTGCCTGCAGGATTTGGTGTTTGGTCTTTGACCCCAACAAAATCCGAGCCCCGAAGTGGAGCGTTTCCCAAGTGCTTTGCAGGGCTTGGAGCACTCCATCCCTTCGCGTGTCTGGCCTTCCGATCCAGGAAGACGAAAACCAAAACGCGAAGGAGCAGAGGGGAATCGGGGAAGCTGACAGCTGGTTCCCCCAAAAGCAGAAGCCAAGGCCCTGGGGTTCCAAACGCCCCCGCTACAAAGAATGGCCCAAGGGGATTTAATTTGGATGAACATCCTTAGGTAGATGCTGGCGGTTGTGTTAGTCCCGTTGTTTTGAAGACAGGGAAGGGATGGCCTGGGGATACCTGTTGAAAGGCAGTGTGGGGTGTCTTTCTAAGGGTATGTGTGTGTGGATGGCTGTAAGGCTGTAAAGGGAACAGGAGCCCGCCCATGGTGGGTTCCAGTTTTCCTTATTTTGAGACACGCCCAAGAAAGAACTCCCGTGCCAATCCCAACGTGGAAGCAAAAGCGAGCCACGCTTTCGGAACAGCATCGTGAGGTGAACCGTTCAGTTGATTGCTGGGAATTTCTGGGCAAGATCGCGTCGAAGCATTTCGACTCACGTTGGTGTGGCTTTTCCAAGTTGGGTCTCTGTGAAATAAAGGCGGACCCCCATGTTGGGCTTCCCTGTCTTTTCCCTTTAGATCAAGGTGAGGAGGTGTCCGCACCTGTTGTTCGCAAGGACGAGAAGGAGAAGTGCAAGAAGCGCATCATTCTTTTTCAGGCGACAGCGGATACCAAGAGGGCTTAGCGGGGCACCCTACCAACCTGCCCTCGCCACACCAAACAAGCATCTTCTCCAACCATTGCCAGCACTGGGGTCATGACCCCTTTACTTTGGATAAAGCCATTTTTCAAGGGTCACTCTAGTTGTACCCTCTCCATTCTCTTCAGGATCCTTCTGGTCAAAAAGTGGACCAAACACCTGGACCTGGAAAAAAGATAGTTTCTAAAGAGAACGATGGGTGAAGAGAACGGGGAATCAAACCTTAGAGTCACGGAGACTCCAAACAATTATAGTGTCCCATTTGCGGGGCAAACAAGTGGCGCATGTCGGGAGCCCTGCGTGGCAAGGATGGCCAGGGTGGCCTTTTGAAGCCCTCCCGGGAAAAAAAAAGCCAGGCGGGTCTGTGATTTGATTTTTCGAGCCCCTGGGCGTTTTGAAGGGAGACCAAAGGGCAACATACCCCCCCAAAAAACAAGGCGGGGCCGATTCCGCTATTTGACCTATTCTAGGTCCCCCAGTAGCGCCCCTTTACCCCTCTTTTTGGGGGAGGGTGTTCGTACTAAAATAGACAGTAAAAGGGCTACCCTCCTTCTAACCTCTCTACTGGACCAAGTATTGAACCAAATCAGCAGCTCAGATGCCCAAGGCACCTCTGTTTTCCCTTCTTTGGAGGGTGTCGCTTGAAACTCCACGGCCCGTTGGCCATTTTTTTGCACGGGTGCCTCTACCAAATGTCCCAGAAAATCTATGAAACCCCTCGGAGCGAAAGGACATAAATCCCGCTTTCAGTTTTTGCTTTTACCGGGAGATCTAAGGGCCCATTTCTTTTGGTTTCCCTGCCAACACAGACCAAACAGGATCAAAAAGGGCTACCAACTCCACACAAGACCGTGCCCCCCCCCCCCCGAAATGTCAATGGGTCAAAACCAATGGTACCATTTTGGGTTAGGTGCACCACCCATTTTAGAACCTATTTTAGTGGGGATTGGGATGTTCACTGGATGGCCATCTGAATCCTTGCAAGCGAAAGAGGGGCGTGTTTGATTATATAACTCCCAACAAAAGGGGTACCAACTCCAAGCAAAGCACGCCGCCAGGTGTTTTTTTTCAGCAACCGTGCCCCCCCCCCTCCCCCCTGAACTCAGCCGCAGGGCTGCCTCTTTGCGGTTGACATAGCGTCGGACGTCCGGGTGGGCATCGACTTTTGCGAGCGCGGGCTGATGTGCTTCGGAGCGCTGCTGCTGCTGATTCCAGCCACCTCGGGCTGCCTGTGCTTCCTCTACAAGCGCCTGGGCTCGCTTATTTGGGTATGGGTGAAAATGCAACCACCAGGGATTGGACCGCAGGTTTTCGTCCTTGTTTTCATTTACGGTTCCATTTGGGGTACCGATTTTTGACCCACTGCCATTTTTGGTCCCGGTGCTTGCAGGCAAGCTAGTGTAGTAGGTAACCAGGGGAAACCATTTTTTTACATGAAATCCATCCTCCGTTTTTGTTGAATCATTTTTTCTCAGCGCTTTTGGGTCGGTCTGGGCCTTCCTAGCTTGAAAAGTAGCTGCGATGGCCAAGACCGGCAGACATGATGAACAACTAGGAGCAGCAAAACAAACTAATCACACATGCCGAAATGCTGGGGACTTTTTTTTTCGGAGTACATGCTCGCGCAAATAAGCACACCACAACTTCCCCTCACAACCGCTAGAAGGATCCCAGTTTTGCTTTCAAGCATTCCTGCATGTAAAGCACCTGTTTTTTTTGATTTTATTGTTTTGTGTGAACATTGCCCATTGCGCAATGTAGCTATGGCTGCAATCTCCTCTTTCGATGCATAAGCTCTACCAGCATGTTTTTTCTTTGTGATACGCTGCTTGCTTATCCCTACTTGACTACACGCATGCATCTTCCATGCAAATAAGCAGACTTTGGATGGGGTATCAGGGATTGATACAAAGCAGGAGCACAACATTATTTTAAGGAGCATAAATTCATTTTCAGGAGCGATGGCCATGAAATCTAGGAGGATTAGTTCTCCGTGTTTTTTCTAGCAGACTACTCAATTAGCAGTAGTCTCGGGAAGCTCCGCGTTTTTCTCAGAAGGGGGGCTCGGGCTAAAACCTGGTATGGAACCCCCAAAAGTCACCTATAGTGCTTGCCTGGAAGCGCTTGGAGCGGGTTGCCCAGCTTCTGTTGAAGCTAGACGGCACGCTTCCCTTTCGGGCAAGCAAATGGGATGACAAAACCCGAATGGAGTAACTGTCAGTCCCCTTGCGGATAGAAACGGTTTTCCGTTCTCTTGATTGACCACGGCCAGTTGTTGAACCACAACCTGAAGGATCCACTTTGGGGTATCCCTTTGTAACCAACCCCCATAATATGGATTTGTCGCAAAATGGGGGATCCCCCTTTGCATGGTTTTAAAGGGATTCCAAAAGGAATCGGCCTGGAATCGGCCTACCTGGGGGGCGGCTTCTGTCGGTTCTTCACTGGAACATGGCATCACTTACCCAAAGCGAATCTACCGTTTAACCTGTCGGTTTCCCTTTGGTCCATATTTCGTCAAGATACCAACAGGTGAACCTTTTATTTCCAGCTCCTTTGGAACTCGTGAGAAAAGGGTTCCCAAGTTTTCCCCTCTTTGGCGCAAACGATCGTTTCCATAGGCGCTGGTCTTGGGAGTTAGCTCCCCATGACCACAAGGAGAACGGAAAGGACGGATTGACTTGGCGACCAGAAAAAAGGCTTACCCTCCCACCAGCGAACATGGAAGTGCACAGACCCCTGTAAAAAGACTACCTTCCTCTTGGAAAGGGCCTTTGTGCACTTCCACGTTAGTTGGCGGGAGGGTACCATCTTTTAAGCTTGGCTGGTTGGTGTTTCATGTTCCATCATGTGGTTTTGTTTGAGGGATCGGAAATCAAAAGAAGGGGCTGGTTTGCCTTGGGGTCCCTTCACACCCACTCCAAACAGGGCACCCTCAAAAAAGACACACACACACACATGTTGGCTTCTTTCTTGACTGTTTGGTTGTTTAGTGTTTCTGTTTCTTTCATTTTGGCTTTCTGGCTTGCTTGTTGGTTTCCCATGGTCCATCATGTTCATTCATGTTCCACTTCAACCAGCCAAAAGGTTATCGCCTTTTGGGCGGATCCGTCTCACTAAAATCCGGGTTCGAGACTTCACGCGATCGATCGCTACGTTTCCGGGGGCGCTTGCAACGGCCACATGCGGATAGGAACCTTTCCTAGGTCCCCCAGTAGTTGGGTTCCCCTAAAAAAATAGACTTCAGAAAAAAAGGTACCCTTATTCTATCCTCTGTACTGGAGGACCTAGTTGCTTGCGTGCTCAGTAGGGAATGTGGGTCAACCAACATCGCAAGGTACCAGCGCACCCTTAGGGTCCCGCTCTCCTGCGAGAGGCCCAAGAAGGCTCTAAGGTTTTCAAAGCTTAGGTCAGAGGTGTCAAAACACTGGGCTTGGATCCCAGATCCCCTGCGAAGAGCCTAACTTTTTCAGTACCACTAAACCAACTAAAAACTTGATGGCTGGGAACAACCATGGTGTCTGGCCGAACCCTGTGTCCTTCTGCGTTGAATTGAGGAGGCCGAACCGGTGAACAGGTTCTTGGTAGACATGATTCAGAAAATATGCGAGTGAGTGCCAACAAGAAGTCCACAGAAGACATCAGCAAGCAGCGCCGACACACTCAAAGCAAAGCTTTGGAAATCCATGAAAGCTTAACTTGCTGGTTCTCAGCAGGGAATTAGGGAATGAGCCCTATACACCCTCCCCTATGGCTTCCTTTAGACGATTTCCTATATATATATATATATATATACATATGTGTGCATTCTCAAAAACATGTCCTTCCCTACTGAGCACGCTGGTTGACATGAACGCCTCCGGTTCTAGGCGATTTTGCACCGCTTATTGAGGCAATCGATCGCCACTTGAGTGGTGGGTTTGGATGTAACAGCCACTTGGACTGAACACACAGAACGAGCCCAGCTTCCATCGAAAGCTTGCTGGTGCTAGGCAGGGAAGAATTGGGATGACCCTTGTAAGGCATCCCTTGTGGTTTCCTTTATGGGGACCCCCAGGTTCATTCCCGCTTTTTGGCAGCAGACATCAGTGGTGCCCTTTGTTTTCTTGTTTGTGGAGGGGGCGTGCCCTTTTCAAGCAACCAGCTAAACAGAAGGCTTCCGAATATTTCGTTTGATGAGCATGCACTTGTTTATGTTTGTTTTGCAAGGGGGGTCCCTTTAATTCCCGCGCACCAAGAAAAGTGAGTTCCTGGACGTAGATTCTTGGGAAGAACATGTAGTCCAGGAGATTGGGCAAAGGAACATTAGACCATGAACAAACACCTAAAATTGTCACTTCCTGATTTCCTTGAACACCCAAAGTTCCGACTTTTTCTGGCAGATTCTCTAAAAGCCGGGTTTTTGGAGACAGGAGACCTTGTTCTTCTACGAGGGGAAGAACCGGAACGGCCAGAAGCGCCCGGGTCTGCGGTGCATGGTGCTGCAAATGCTCCAGCTAGAGGCACTGGAGACGGCGCGCTTGGCGTATTATGATCCACGCTTCAGAAAGGAGTGGAGGACGGGATGTTTTTTTCAGGCACCCTTTGGGGTGGGTTGAATATGTAAGTAACTATAAATATAAACACATACACATATATGGTGGGGTGTTCTTTTGTTTTCTTTTTTGTTGTGCTCTCTTTGGTGGTTGCTTAAAAGGCAAACCAAAAGGACACCAACCATTTTGCCCTATTCTAAGACACCGGTAGATGGTGCAGCCAGCGAAGGCCCAGCTTCACAAATTTGGATGTCACGTTCACGAGGCGAGCCGGCCGGAACAAACTTTCTAGGGGACACTTCCAAATCCATTCTTTCCAGGGATCCGATTTGTTTTCTTTTTTCAGAAAACGATCAGAACCCCAGGCTGGAAACAGCGATCGGTTGAAAATCACCATGGTTGAAAATAGTTTGAATGGTTGGAATCCACCCCTCACATTGCTCCTTTAGCTATCGAGTTGTAAATCCTGGGGACCAGTTGCCACATATGAAAAACAGGGGACCGGGGGTGAAGAGAACCATTCTTTTCCTAAGGATGTTCCTCATCCAAATTGGGTCCCCTTGGGCCATTAATTGAATGGGGGTTGAACCCCGGGGCTTGTCTGGGAGCTAAATGGTGGATAAGCATTCGCACGACGGCGTACACGGGGTGTAATTGGCCGGGAGTAATTCCTGACAAGGCGCTGAGTGGCCCATTGTGAATTTGTTGCGATTGGGATGGTGAATTTCGAAAACAAACAAACCTTCAATGTAACAGCCAACGTCTTTTGTGGTTTCAGGTAACCAGTGACCAGTGTCCTCTTGGGACTTGCTGAATAAAATGAGTTGCTGGTTGCTTGCGACAGTTCGGAGCATTTCGGTGTACTGTATCTTTTCTTAGGAGACCCCCACAAATTGTGGTTTTCGTTGTGTAGCACCCCCAGCCACTGCCTTTTTGACAGTATTTGGAGGTTTGGACCTGGGAAAAAGCAGGCACGTTGGCGCGCACTGGGTGGTTTCCTTGTGCTAGATGGCCTCAAATCTGTTGACGCGTGAGAACTAGTTACAAATCGATACTCTGCTCAAGCGGCACTCTGCGCAAAATGCTCTGTGCAAGTTCAGATGGTTGCGCAAGAGCCGTACAAAGCAACACACATCCACAGCGTTTCCAGCTCCACCCACCCGATCCGTGTAAAAGGGTTGGGAAAGCTGAGAAGTGCGTACAAGTCCGCGGTTTTTGAAGGTTGACCTGCCCGATCCCCGCGCGGACCGCACAAAGTAGCAACCGTCCGCAGCTTTGAAGGTCGACAGGCCGAATCTGTGAGAGCGTCGAAGTGTTGCAGCCTGCGGTCGGTCCTGCCACGCCGCCTTGAATGACTCATTTTCTCTGTTGGGCTTAGGATACATTTTACATTTTACCAGTGACTCAAAGTGAAGCAAACTATAAAATATACTTTCTATAAACTGGGCCTAAGTCTAATCAAAAAGACACGGGGGGCACGGGGGGCAGGGGGTAACGAGCTGGATGCGCCAAGTGCTAATTTGGGTGACCCCCATGGTCAAAACGCCGGATTGGCTGGTTCCCTTCCCAGGCAATCTGGGCCTAACTCTAATCATGTTTTGATTGGAGCTGCACCTGCGAGTCTGGCGCAAGTCTTCGGGTTAAAGTTGCGAGTCGAGTCTTGTGGCAGTCACTCGGCACAGGTAACTCGAAAATATCGTCCTGGAGCAATCTCGTCCTGGAGTCTCCATGGATTCATGACCCTTTAAAAATGGTTGGTCATTACCCGAAATTAAGGGGCTATGATCCCTTTTTCTAGGGGTCATGGAGACTCCAGGTTGGCATTTCGCTCTGCAATCCTGGTGCAATCTCTTGGGCCTCGTGGGAATCTCTTAGTGACTCTCGGCGCCATCTCTCGGACTCGACTCTCTTGGCCCCGACATTTTCGTCGAATACCAAAACATGCCTTCGGAATGCTTTCGGACAACACCAAAAAGGGTGTAGCCTCAAAAGAAGGCACACTCGCTTGAGCGGCAATCAAAAGTGTTTGAGGGAAGGGGGAGGGAGGCAATCCGCGTAAGTGAGATTGGCTCATACCATTGTCAAAAGTTGGACAGGGCTCCTTAAAAGAAAATCATTTTGCAACCATTTGAAACATGTTGCTTGTTCCACACCAAAGTAAAGTTGGAAACCGCCATTTACAAGTTGCAATGTTCAGGTGTTGTCATGCATCCGGATCCCTGTACCGAAAGTCTCAGTTGTTCAGTGGCACCTTTTTCTTTTTCCAACTTATTTTTGGTGACTGCCCCTCTAAAATTCCGGTCCTCCCGCCCGGAAAAGGGTTCCAATTCTTCTTTTTTTTCTCCAGGGTCACTGAACAACTGAGAAGTTGGAGGACCGAAAGGGCGTTCAATGGCCTGGTGGAGAGCTTTCCTTCCTGCCTCATACAAGCCTACACCCTCTTGTGCATGGCGCAGCTGGGAGAGCTGCCAAATCCATTGGATACAGCCTGGCAGGTGACTTGGCTGCTGTTGGGGAACGGATCTTTAGACGTCAACTGTTTGGTTGAAATCAAGTTGGGTTTTCCACTAAACCCCCAAAAAGCTAAACTGTTTGCAAGGGGGTCGACAGGAACCAAGGTGAGAGCAGAAGTTGGGAGTTCGCTGGATGTGGTCTGGTCAACCTTGTTGAAACTACCCTCCCACCAAATTAACATGGCTGTGGCTCAAACAACCGGAATTCCAAAATGGAACCCTCCCTGGTAAGTGGACACATGTTTCCCGAAACCCCGCGGTTCGCACAGCCCCTCCGATCGTTTCATTTTGATTGCCACCGCCACATGGAACCTGACAGGGACCGGTCCCTTCAGAATCGCGTCAGGTTCGGGGGAAGGGATCCAGGGATTCCCTTTCCCTGTCGTAGGTAACCAGAAAAGGTCCTGGCCGCCTCGAGCAAGAAGGAAGCCATCTTTTAGGGAGCTGGGATCCAAAAAGCGCTAGGTGTGTTGGGATGAATTCCTTCCGGGCGAACTTCACGCACGTGTACAGTCTTTTCAAGTTGGAGGCGGTTCATTTCAGCGGAAAAGGCAAACGATCTGGAGAGGCAAACAACAAGTCCAACTGTTTGTCTGGCAGGTCTTCTCCATTGTGCTCTCTTGCTACAGCATGGCAGTGGCGATGAAGTTGATCTCCTTCCGGATTTTGCCCAAGCAGAAAGTCTCAAACGTGTCAGGGAGCAGCTGGCAGGACCCCAGCGATCCATCAACCCTCGTTCCTTTTTTTTGTTCTGCGGTGATCCCTGCGAAAAATGGAAATCACCCGGGGTTGCAAGTCAGCTTCGCCCCGCGAAACCCCTCTTTTTGTGACTCCTCACCAAAAATGGAAATGAGTGCGGCTCCGTTTGATACCCGTTTTGGGGTGGTGTCAAAAGGGATCAAAAGTCAAACCACCAATTTTGAGGGTCCCCTGTTTCAAGACAAACCCAAATGAACTCCCTCCGTGGATCACGCAGTGAGGACGTGCAGCTGACATTGCTCCAATTCTGCGACGTGTCGGCGAGATTATTTACCTTGGCAGCGTTTGGAGTTTGCCTTCGGCCTGCAACTCAGCCGACCAAGTCTTTGACGCTTTTGGTGTTTCCGCGTGCTTGGGAATTGACCCTTTGCCAACAGCTGGGTTTCTATAGGGAATGGTGAGGTTTCCCATATTCCCGAAGAACAAGCAAGTCCTTTGATCTTGATCCAGTTTGGCGCAAGGCTCAATTTGACTTCAGGTCTTGACAAGGCAGAGCCCAAAACCCTCAATCTGAGGGCCGTAGCAGGTCCTTCTACTACCTGGCTCAATATTGAGGCCAATGACTACATAAACCTTTATATTAGTAGAACCAACTGTCAATGGAATTTGCTGAAGTGAGGCAATTGACATCACCAAGAATCGGCAATTTGAGTTGCCGCTTTTGATGCTTGCAGAGCTAGTGCTTGTGGCATGCATGACCACGTACCTGCTGAACAAGCGGTGGTGTCACTCAGTTGCGCGTACCCGTGATGCCGTCCTCTCTACAGCCATCTCCTACCTTACGATTCCCTCCCTAGTGTTGCACGAAGATAGCGACGACACGGTGGTCGACTATTTGGGCATGATGGCACTGCAAAGGATCGAGTCTGTTTGGAGAGCAGCTGAACTCTTGCTGACTCTTTGCCTGGTTTGGTATCACCTCCATACACAGGCGCACGAGTCGCACGTTTGCATAGTGACCTTTGCAACTTGGTCTGCGGTCGCGTTGGCCTGTGTGCTCACGACGCGCCTTTATGACCGAACCAGCCGATATGAGGGACGACCCATCTTGCCAGCCGTCAGCGCGGACGGATTCGGCGCGGCACATTGGGCGTGTGCCCTTGGAAACATGCAGCTACTGACCAGGCTGCTGCGTGAGACTCAGTTGTTCAGTGGCACCCTTGTTCCTTCTTTTTTTTGGTGGCTGCTTCACTAAAAAATGTCTTCCCCAAAAAGGGTTCAGTTTTTTTTTGTTCAGGGTCACTAAATCACTGAGGAGAAAGACGATGCCATCAGAGCCAGAGATACGAAATGCCGCAGCCCTGCGCACATTGCGGCACTATATCAGAAAGAGGAGGCACTGAGACTGCTGCACCAATTCGACTCGGAGTGCATGAGCTACAAAGACAATGCTGGATGGGCCCCTGCTCACTGTGCAGCACATGTAGGGCATGAAGCAGTGCTGAAACTTCTGCACCAACTAGCTCCAGATTCCCTCAATAGCAAAGCCGAGGATGGTGCGCTCCCTTCACACATTGCAGCAGCATGTGGGCATGACAAGATGCTGAATCTACTGTTTGAGCTGGTCCCGGAGTCACTTTCAGCTGAGAATCACAAGGGCACAGTCCCGGCGCACAATGCAGCCAACAACGGGCATGACGCTGTGCTGGAACTGCTGCATCGCGTGGCCCCTGGGTCTCTGAACGCCAAGAACGATAAGGGCGCAGTGCCTTGGTGGCTCCCAGCCATCCCCTTAGCTTTCTAGATCCTTTTAGTGTTTGGTGGTAGTTTCCGAATTTCACCTACTAGAACGGTATTCGCTTTTAACCTGGAGTCTCCATGACCCTTAAAAAATGGGGCCATTACCCAAAATAAAGGGGTCATGACCCCATTTTTTAAGGGTCATGGAGACTCCAGGTAGGAGGGGAGCTGAAACCGGGCAGCCAAGAAGGCCGTCTTTGGTTTTTCAGGTGCGACCCACCCCCCCCTTCTGACCGGCTTTTGGCGGGGGATCAGAGCCCGGCAGGTGCCCGCGCACCGCGCAGCTCATAACGGGCATGAGCAGGTCCTCAGGTTGCTTTGCCAGCTGGCTCCAGAGCCCCGGTTGCAAGCGCCAGGAGACCTTTTCTTGACCATCTTGACCCGTTTTGGCTTTCCCCCACACTGTTTTGGTCCGTTCTTATGGACGTTTTGGTTTTCCCCATGGTTGGGTTCCCAAATCTCATGAACGTGTTGGTTTTCCCATGTTTGGTCCGTTCTTGTGGACGGGTTGGTTTTCCCATTTTGTGAGGACACCTCTTCCATGAAACCTCAAGATGCCCATCCCATCTCAAAAACGTGCGGGGGAGCCGCATGCTTATTGACCTGTTGGTTTTTCCCAATGTTTGGTCCGTTCTTATTGTCGTTTTGGCTTTTCCTCATGGTTGGTCCATTCTTATTTACGTTTTGGTTTTCCCCATTTTTGGTTCGTTCTGGTTGACGTTTTGTTTTCCCATGTTTGGTTCCCATGTGGATTCACGCTTTGGTTTTCCCATGTTTGGGTTCCCATTTTATTAACGTTTTGGTTCCCCATGTTTGGGTTCCCATCTTTTAGTCATGACCCTAAAAGGTGATCACCCCTCTTGTTTCTGGGAAACTTTGGTGGCAACTGAGGAGTCTCTCACGGCCACCAACAACTCGGGTTCTGAGCCTTCGCACTACGCGGCGCACAATGGGCATTGTAAAGTGCTGAGACTGCTGCACCAGTGCAATCCTGAGGCTTTGGAGGCTGAGGACAATGAGGGCAAGGCAGGAGTAGAGAGTCTCTCTGGCCAACTTGTTTTTCTTCACGAATGTTTCCTCTGTTTGATTAGCCTCATTTTGGTTCTGGTGATTGGAGGTCCTTTAGGTGTGGTTTACATTGCCCTCCTTTTTGGTCCCGACTCTCTGAGTCCCTCATTGCTTGGAAAGACCAGTTGAGCGGAGTGGCCAATCCACTGGGGAAGTGAGCTCAAGGGCCCAGCTTTGGTGATCCTGTTACCACCCAAGCTAAGACCGGGGTTTCTCACCTCTAGAAAATCCCACGGCACAGCATGCCATTCTAGGTGTCCTTTCTTGGTTGATTCGGTGAGGGCGATTCCTGGTTTACCTGGTGGTTCAACCAACTTCCAGGGTCCAGCCATCTACTTTCCCCAAAATTTGGACACCTCTGCCATGCCCACGGTTTTTTGTTTCAGGGTTTTCTGTGTGTTTACCCCCCAACCCGCCGAGAAGCTTCGGGTTCTCCGCCCCCAATTTAACTTCGGAGCGGCCGGGGTGGCGGCCTTGGAGCGGCTTTCGCTGGGGGTTTTCCGGGGGGGCTACCGCGGCGGGGGTTCGGAGGTCAGGAGACCTCGTGTTTGGATTGGAGTTTGGCTCAAAGGGCGGATTGCGGCGTCCGCCTCGGCCTTGTTTTCGATTTCCATCGAACCAACGACATCCACGAATTTCACTTCTACAATCAGCAAGATTGGGACACTCTCCCGTGTTTAATGGCGAGGGCAGAAGTCCTTAAGCCATTACAAAGAGGAAAGCCATATGGGTGTGCGTGCTCTTGTGGTCGGTCCAGGGTCAATGAAGACCGCTGGGCGCCAACATCTTGAAAACCGGCGGGCTCCAAAAAGAGAAGCTGTAATGGGGAACCGCACCGCGAGTTGACACCGCTCCCAGGGCTTCCAGGCAAGCCACTAGCGGATCAAACCCAAGCCGCTATTGGACGAAATCAGGGTAGACCTTGACCCGGGTGCTTCATTCCCCCCAAAGGAGAACCCCCCCAGCGTTGTGATGTGTTCATTCTAGTCATTCTATTTTGGGGGCGTCCAAAAGTTCTTGCTTGCCTGGATCAAACTGCACCGGAGTGTCGTTGTTTGGAGGTGCCTGCTCATTGGGCAGCGCATAACGGGCACGAGGATGTGCTGAGTCTCCTGAAGGAAGGGGCTGAAAAGAGAATGGCGTCAGTTTTTGTTGTTTCCTCCTGTGCCCGGGCAGCCTTTTTCGGCTTGGTTTAGCTTGGGAAATCATACCCCCTGCTCCAAATACCACCGCTTTTCTCAGGGCATTTTTGGGAAAGCCGATCGGTTTTCCATGGTAAATACCAAACCTTTTTTGGTAGAGGGTCGACAAATCATACCCTGAAAACAGGCCGGGTATTGGGTGTAGGGGGTATTGGCACCTCCATGTTCGCCGCGGTTCCCCTAGGCCTCTTCCAGACGTGTGGACTACAAACTCGCATGAGACCCAGTGGGGTACCCCCAAAAAATAGTCCGACGGGAGGATGGTTAAGAATCTTATATGCATGCCCATTTGCAGAACTGCGCCGTCATTTGCTGCAGTCAAGGGGACATTGGTTAGACTCCTGGCCAAGTTCGCATGTCAGTGGGCACACGAATATTGACCATGGCTCATTTTGTTTGAAAAGCCGTTGGGAAACCAAAGAAGCTCCCTCGGGGTCTCTTGGAACTTTACCTAGGAACTTTCGCTGCTGTTTGGCCTTTTGACAGCGTAGGTGAATTGTCAGTTGTTCAGTGGGTTGCACGCTTTTTCCCATTTCGACTGCTAGCTTTTCCACTAAATGTGGAATCTCCCGCAAATCACTGGGATCGATTTTGTTGTGCCACGGGTCGCTGAACTTGGTCACACCGCTCGGGACTTGTGGGAAGATACACCAAGAAAAGTACCTGGCTCGACGGATTTTGAGTCGGCCAAAAAGGTTCGAACCTGGCCCCATACTCGGTCCCTTTTCACGGCTTGGCCCGGTAGGGACCGTGCGACGAGGCGCCCTTGGAGCTTTGAAGGAAACTGGATGAAACCCTGAGCTCCCAATTGGTGCACCCCTCATGCTCTACCGTGGATGATTTACGAATTCGATGTCGCAGCACGAAATGGGGCCATGGTAAAGAGCCCATTGTTTGTGGGTATTTACTTCGGAAACCATCGTTCCAGGGTTTCTGAACGGTGGTGCGAATGGATTTCGTCCATCGTGTGGGGCACGTTCTGCTTGGATTTGGATGACTTTGCAGCCTCCACAAATTCCAGGGGAACCCACCCATTCGTAGGAACGGACCCATTTCTGTTGGGACGAGGCCCTTTTCCAGGAGGCTCCTTCCGTGTCCTTTCCAATTCGCCAGGAGTTGGCCCCAGACACCTTGCAGTCCAGAGACTTTGCTGGTTGGACCCCCGCGCACATGGCCGCCCGGAACGGCCACGACGCGGTCTTGAGCCTTCTGCACCGTGCGGCGCCCGAGTGTCTCCAGGCGCGGTTCATGGATCACACGGTGGGATTCCTTGGGAGCAACGGGGGCCTCGCGGGTGAAAAAGAGGGGCTGATTCTGTACCCAGGCTGTGGCTCAAAAAACCGGAATTCCAAAATGGGTTGCCCTGGCAAGTGGAAACATAGACCAAAACCTGCGGTTTGCCCCTCCTGTTTAATTTTGAGCCACACCCAGGAAAAGACCAGGACTTCCCGGGAGTCTCCATGACCCTGGACAAATGGTGGGTCATGACCCAAAATCAAGGACTCCAGGTCCATCCAAGGTCATAGTATGCATTATGCATTTGTTGGTTTGCGGTTGCTCTGGTTCACGGAAAAGGCCCTGGACTTTCGACTTTCGGGGGGTCCGAAAAATGAGACAGGTCGCAAGATCTCCGGCTGACCAACACGCTTTCGGGAAGGGACGAAGGTTCGGTGTTTTTTTTTGGCTCGGGGACCCACCATTTGCCGATATAGCCTTTGAATGGTATGGGAGCCGCTGGATCGATTTCGCGGGTCGACGTCACTTGGGGTTTGGGATGGGAGACTCACCACACCTGCCCCTTTCGCCTGCTGGGTTGGGATCCTCTTGGGTTCTTCTGGCGGTGGGGGGGGGGAATGCTTGCCAATCCAGAAGCGCTGAAAAGCCCTTTGCAGGTCCCTGGATGACAGAAAGTGTTGGAAGACCCATGATTTTTTTAACAGATGGTAAGGTTCCTTCTGCAGAAACCACACGCTTGCTGGTTTCGGTAGGGAATGAGGGAAGTCATTCCCCTATAAGCCATCCAGTGTATGCTCTCTGCCGGTTCATTCCAAAATCCGCCGTGTTTTTGTTTTTTTTTCCCCTTTTTCGGGAGTAACTCATTGTTGTGTGGTTTTAAAGGGAAACCACTACCTGGAGTCTCCATGACCCTCCAAAAATGGGGCCATTACCCAAAATAAAGGGGTCATGACCCCATTTTTTAAGGGTCATGGAGACTCCAGGTAGGAAGACCACCATTTTAGTGAGTCCCCTCAATAAAGACACACCCATTTTCCCACTGAGAGCCGGCGAGCTATAGGCATCGCAACATGTTTGCGGATCAGGTGAAGAACGTTTATGGCTGGACGCCGGCACATTCCGCGGCGGCCCGCGGGCATGACGCAGTGCTGAAGCTCCTGAAGAAGTTGGCTCCAAAGACCCTTCGATGAAATGTTCATTGCTACTGTGGATGGACAAAATCCTGCACCACCTAAGAAACCCTGGAATGTTGATGCTGCTGTAAATACCAACCAACCATGGTTCCCATGGTTTTGAAGTGCTGCGAAATGGATTTCGTCCATCAACAGTATTGCTGGGCAAAGCCCAAAATATGTTCTTGAGCTTCCGGAAGGGAAGCCACAAAAAAAGAAAGAACATCGGGTTGTTCGATTTGTCCGCACCCTTTGCTTATCACCGGTCTTCATGTCGTCTGGTGTTTCCCTTAGCCATGCGACATGTTCCGAGGGTCACCTCGACATAAGGACCCTCACGGCTGAAGCCATTGATGGTGCGGTCCCTGCACATATGGCAGCCGCGCAGGGTCGCGCCACAGTGCTCAGGCAATTGCACCACTTCGCTCCTGAGACTCTTAGGGCGAAGAACCTTAGCTTTGAGTTTGCCAGACTGGAAACACTTTTGTTTGGCTTTGATTGTTTGTGCTGTTGTATTTTGCTTTTAATCCTGTAAAACTTATGCGGTGGTTTCGATTGGTGGTTTGGGGATTTGAACCCCTGGCTTTTGTAGAGGGTAATGGGACACCCCTCCTTTGGGGATCGCCATGAAGTGCCAGGGAAACCAGTTCGCCTCGCAAATAGTGGGTCTGTGCGACCTAGCAACCCCTCGCGCCCTGAGTTCCTGGACGTTCCATTTGTGGGGAAGACCATTTTAGGGGTTAACTGTGGATGGAAGAAATCCTACACCACCCTAGAAGGATAATTCCCCTGTAAATACCAACAAACAATGGTTTCCCATGGTTTCAAAGTGGTGCAGGATTTCGTCCATCCACAGTAAGACACAAAATTGACGGTTTTTGAGCCAGGAAGTGTTGCCCAACTTGTCGCTTGCCTCTTCAACCGTTTGCTCGCGGGTTGTCCTTTGTGTTCCCTTGCCGGCACAGCTCGTAGGGGGTCTAGGACCGGCCCTTCTGCACCTTTGGAATTCAGCTCCTGGAGCCCCGGCGAGTCTTACGCAAATGCGTCCATTCATCCAAACACCGGATCCGTTTTCCCTGGGGTTTTGGAGGTTTTCGAGAAAGAAGGATCCCTGGAAAGAATGGAAAAAGGAAGGCATCCCTAGAATTTAACCGGCAGTCTTCAAGCAGACCAAGCTGCCCTTTCTTTTTTTCGTCGAGGCAATGATCCTTTGGAAGCCTTTTGCCAGCCAGGAACACTTACCTCCCCAATCTTCCTTAGTGCATTTTGTCAAGGGATGTTAGGACTTCTTTTTTTTTGCCAACTCATGGGTTTCCGTATTAGGTGCATTCTACATCCTGGATGTTAGGACTTTGACTTTTTGCCAACTCATGGGTTTTCCGTATTAAACCAGTAAAAGTTATTCACTTTCAGGGGAGCAGATTTCGCAACCGAGTCTTTGTGTTGGCTATGTTGGGTATCTGAACACGCTGGCGGTCCACCAGTGCCCCACACTTCTCAGTTGTTCAGTGGCACCCTTTTTCCCATATTTTGTTTGGTGACTGCCCCACTAAAAATGGTCCTCCCCAAAAAGGGTTCCCTTTTTTTCCAGGGTCACTGAACAACTGAGACTTCTATCGGGCCAGGAACAATTATGGATGTGTTCCAGCGCATTATGCTGCTGAGCAGGGGCAAGACGGTATCGTGAAGCTCCTCAACGAGTTGTCTCCGGAGTCTCTCACTGCTGAAGCCAATGATGGCTGGGTCCCTGCCCATACTGCGGCGTATCATGGCCGTGACACGGTCCGATTCCCCAGTTGCCCACAGGTGCCGTCAGTGTTTTCCTCTTTTCCAGTTGAGTGTGTCTTTTTTCTATCGGACCTCCAAAATAGTGTTTGTTTTCTTTCTCTTGGCTTTCCTTTAAAACCCCCAAAGCACTGGGTTGGTGATGAGGGGTCCTTATATTTCCCCTTTTGGGGGTTTCAACCATCACCTTTTTGGCCCCTGAAAGGTGAGTGTTTTTTTTTTGTGGGGGTGATGTTTTAGAAGGGACAGAAAGGGAGCCCTGTTGACCCCCTTTCAGATCAACAAAAATCCAATGAGGTCATGGAATTGCTGCACCAGTTGGCGCCCGAGTCTTTGGAGGCCAGAGACAAAGATGGATTGAGCCCTGCCAAGTGCGCGGAGATTCCTTTGGAAGAATGCGGAGATCCAATTCAGGAGGGTGCGGGCGAGAAGAAAAGCCAGGGTTCTGATCTGGTTTTAGCTAGGTCGCCCAGTAGTGCCCTTTCACCCTTGTGTTGGGGGGGGGTTCCCCTGCTAAAATAGACTACAGAAAAAAGAAACGGTACCCTTATTCTAACCTCTCAAATCTGGAGGACCTAGTTAGTCTTTGTTTCCGAATTTCCAACAAGGCCATGTTGGGTACCATCTTTGGAGCCAAAGCCAGGAGATGCTACAAGTGTCAGTGGCATTGGGAACTCTGTCCTTCGACAGTAAGGCCTTCAAACGCTTCATGGCTGCTCTGGAAGACTTTTGCTCATTCCGTTGCTTTACCCTCGCTCCAACCAATAATGGAAGCTGACAAGAGGGTTTTGGAAGACTAGACCTTCTTTTTGGGGGAGCCCCGTATCCACTTCCATGATTGGACAGATTGTACACCTTTTAGACACAACTGGCTTTTGCGTTACACATCTTGGACCTTTCGCTCGGGCAGAAGAGCAACCCAGGCTTGTCATCTCGACTTAGCGATGCGAAATCGCCGTCCTCTCCGGCGGCCACCCAGTCTTACGCCCGGTCAGCCCGCAGCTCTGCCCGGGTCTCGATTCTCATCTCCAACGACATCGGCGAAATCCCGGAGATCTGAGCCTCCAAGATTGGAGCGCGTGTTTCACTCGACTCACTTCCGGAGCTCGTCACTTTTTGGTATGACCATTTTTCAGCTTCCTACCAATTGGTGGTTTGGAATCGTGTTTAGCGGTTCAGGGGCAGTTTCCCATCTACCCTCTACAAGAACAAGGGGTTCAAACCCGAAACCACCAATCCAAACTACCAATTAAGCGTTACCCCAAGTTTAGCGGCAAACAAACAGTTTGCTTACCTTTTTCTGGCCAATCGACTCGATCGGAAGTGAGTTGGAAATTATCCACCGAGTGGGTCGATAGTTTTTAATTGAGCAGTGCCCGGAGGTTTGCCTGTGCTTTTTTGGGGTACCCTCAAAAACAATCAAAGGGGCTAGTAAGTACGTTTGGCCAAAGTTACTTGTGTGAGTGGGGGTGCTCCAACAACTACCATGGATAGAACCTTCTAGCTAAGTTTAACACCCAACCATCATGATTTCCAACGGCTAGGGTTTTTACATGGGGACCCTTTAGACATTCAGGCTTCCGATTCAATTAGCAATTCTGAGGTGGGTCCCTAAGACTCATAGCCATATAGCCCTCTGCAAACCATGGTCGAACCAAGAGTCAATCGCTGAATCGGGCGCTGCTCAGTCGAATCGCCGAGTCAAATGGTCAGCTCCTGTGTATCGCCGTTTTGTCGGGCAACAAACTCGCTCGTGTGTTGTGTGAATTGGACAGCGGTTCTTCACCAAGCACCCACCGACACTTTATGGCTATTTGGTTGGATCTTTGGACTTTAACTTTTTGGGAAACAGCTGATTTTCCATTGGACCCACAAACAGCTAAACTTTTGCAGCGGGGTCAACAGCAACCAACAACGACAGATTTTCCCATGCCCGAAATTTCAAGCACTGTCCAGAAAGCAGCTGTTGGTGGGTGCTGGACTGTTTTCCCTTATCTTGGTCCTGTGCATGTCTATTGCAAAGCACCAATCTGTTTGCTCACTCTAGGGATGTGTCCCTTTTGTTTGGAACACCTTTCTTGGTGGGTTTGATCGTGGACAACCAAAAGGAGCGCTAGCTTCTTTTTGGGGGCTTCCCCCTTTTTTTGAGACAACGCCATGCCGGAATTGGTAGCCGGGTAGCCGCACCAATCTTGGAGCGGGATAGAGTGCGCTTGCTCCAGGAGTTCGGCTTTGAGTTTCACCCGAATCGGGAGTCCTCCCAGTAGCCAGCAAAGCTCCAAAACTCAGTTGTTCAGTGGCACCAATTATTCTTCCTTTTTTTGGTGGCTGCCCCACTAAAAATTGTATTCCCCAAAAAAGATTCCCGGTTCCCTTTTTTTGCCAGGGTCACCGAACAACTGAGAAAAGAGACCAAGCTCCAAAAGAGACCTCCATTTGCTGAAAGGAATATGTTTTATTGTCCCTTGTTGGTTTTACAGGAAGCAACATCACTACTGGACATATTTTCTCATTTTTCCTGGGGTTTTGACCAACTGGAAGGAGACGCAACATTTTGCCAGTGAACACGTCAAGCCACCATTTGGGGTGATATAAGAACCCGTGGAAGGCCTGCAGAGAAGTAGGTGGGCTAAAATTCGGGGTCCTTTTTCTCAGTTGTTCAGTGGCCCCCTTTTTTTCCCCTTTTTTTCTGGTGGCTGCCCCACAAAAAATGGTCCAAGCCCCAAAAAGGGTTCCCTTTTCTTGCCAGGTCACTGAACAACTGAGTTTTCATTTTCCTTTCCAGCCAGTTTGTTTGGTGCAAAGCTCAAGGAATTGTCTGGTCCAGGCACGCCCCCCCTTTATGTTGTTGCGTAGCACCCAGCTCCAGGCTCTCCCACTTCTCAGTTTTGGAATCCCGAGACACCATTCAACTCGTGAACCCCGCAAAGCCGGTGCATTCCCACCCGAAAATTCATCCCCAACCGAAGTCAGGAGGTGAGCTAACTGCGACTTGCGGCTTACTTGGAGTACCTGCCCGGTGGCTGCCGGATCATTTCTCTGAGAGAATCTGCGTTTCGGTGATTGTTTCAAGCGTGAGCTCGCGGCAGTGTCTTTAAGGTTTAACTTCCCACACCCTCGAGCATCGCACAAAAACGAGCGCGCGATTGAATCTCTGTCTGTCTCATGGAGCGTTCGAAATCTCGATGGACCGGCAATCCGATACTGCGCTTTCTTTCGGCAGCAGTAGTTGATCTCACAATCGTTGCACATCTGGTTTTGATATTCAATGTTGTTTGTAGACATGCGTGTACCACGGTGTTGGTCCTTTGTGTAGGGATCCTTGCATTCAGGATTTAAGGCGTTGTTTTAGAATGCACAGATGGATGACATGTATGGTTGCTTCCTAAGCATCATTGGACCCTCCCTTGCAAGCTTGGAAGGTCGACCTCAAAATGGGCGTTGGGAAGAACCTGGTTTGGCGGTACCTGGTTTGGCTCCTTCTGACACAAAGCAAACATGGTTGCTCATGAGCCCTTGATTTTGGGTAGCATCATTGGACCCTCGATGAAAAGGGCTCGGATTTTGGGTAATTAATGACCCCCTTTTTGTTTGATCCGGCGACTCCAGGTAGTTGTTATCTAGGGGTACCTTCCCATTCTTTCCAGAAGTCCTTCTTTTCAGGAAACCATTAAACCCAGGGAAGACGCTGTTGTTTGCAAAGAACGATGGCTGAAAAGAATAGAACAAGGAATCAACCCATGAGCGACCATTTCTCAAAGTAGAATAGATCGAGGCCATGGTATGCCTACTAGCTCCACCCACCAACCACGAGTAGGACAAGGACTCAACCCCTAGATATTTGAACAGCGAAGGGTCCTCAGGCCGGTTTGGAGTCCCAAAAAGGTGGCGGTGTTGGCCCGGAATCGAGCGCCGCAGGCTGGACAGTCCGCACTCTGAACGGCCGGGGGGGGGAGGGGGGGAAGCATTGGAAGCGGCAACTCACTTTCCGAGTTCCGTGGATTTTCGTCGCTTTTTGGGCTTGGACCAGTTGAAGTGGCCAACAAGAAGTGCAGACTTTTGTTGGACCATCCACTCGGGAAAGGAGGCCAGAGGGGTCTGAGGGCAGCCAGGACATCACAAGTCATTGCCCGAAGCGAATCGACCAAATCTGACCTTGTGGTTTTCCAAGTTTAGTTTATGTTGAACCTTTGATTTCCAGGACCTTTGGGCAAGTGAGGAATCCATCCCAACAACTAGGTGGAAGCGGATGGGAGTCCGGTGAGAAACCCTGCGGCCCGTGAGACCCGTTCAAAGGTGACGCAAAATTGAGTGTTTGACAACCCCTCCCTTCTTCTTTCAGCTGTCATCGCTTTGGCCAAGCAACTTGACATGGCTGAGTGTACATACAGCTGCCATACCCTGGTATGGCCCTCAAGAGGGGGGCTTCAACAGCCTGGCAGAGAAACTTATCAAAATCAGAGGCGCAGAGCGTGGGACACGCAGACAGTGCAGTTCAACGAAGCTCGGACGCTTGAACATCCAAACCTGGATGACTTTGCTCAATGTTCTTGCACTGAGCCTCGCAAGCGGGCTCAGCAGAAAAGCTGTGGGGCGCACTGAGCAAATCGTGTCAACGGCATATCAACGGCTCTTTGGGATCAAGGCATTGAATTGATTGTTTGCAACTGAACCGCACGTTCAATCAGGTAGCCTGGAAAGCATATAGCGGATGTCTTCGAAAGGCTGCGAGACCGGGCCCCCATGTTGAGGGACCGTCATAGTTGATACCCTAACTCCTTATTTATGCTCTTACATGGATACATGTACATATATATATATATACATATACATATACATATACATACATACATACATACATACATACATACATACATACATACATACATACATACATACATATATATATATATACACCTGTCCGCAGGGTGCTTATGCGGCTTACCAAGCCCGGCATCACTTGTCCCTTGGCCGCGAAGCCACAGCAACCACAGTCTAGCGGTTTGTGCACCTTTCAGGGTGTCGGAATTTCGATCATATGTGGAGGCCATGAAGTCAACAATGACTTCTTTTTCATGTCCGGGGTCGTTTTTTGGCCAGTAGTTAGCTGAATGGATCCTCTTAAATGTGGGTGACTGATTAGAATAAAGGGCCCCCCCTCCCCCCCTCAAACAAGTAAGGGGGACCCGACAGAAAAACACGGTAAAACTATTTGGGTCAGATTGGCCTCGCTCCAGTATTGGTGTAAGTCATGGTTTAGTATTGCTTTGTGCTGCCTTAGTTACCTGCTTAGTATTGGCTACTATTGGTTTAGCATTGCTTTGTCTAGTGCCAGCTTCTTATCGGTTTAGTAGCATTTTCGCTTTCAGCCTGGAAACTGGTTTCTCATTTTCGTGGTTTTATTATTGAGTGTTCGGGGTGGCACTGTACTACCCCTCCAGGAAATCTGTTCGTGGAGCACTTTTGTATGAAGGATATGCAAGGAAAGTGGCAGTTTGGGGGATGGGTGTTGTTTGCAGAGATCTTCTGACTTGCTCAGTGCTCAGAAAAGATCTAGTGAACAAGAAGAGAAACAAGAAGCCAGGCCTCTCAAAGTCAAAGGATTGGAACGTAGCCGATTTTTTGTTCGGACAGAACAAGTCTTGTGTTGGGGAGCTCTTTCGTGTTGAGGGTAGCGAATCATTTTGCAAAGCACTTGCATTTGGCACCAGTTGATTACTCGGGCAGCGACATTGCTCGCTCATGTTCAAGCATGTTGAAGTTACAGTTTCTTTCATCAGACTTCCACCAGAGACCTCACTGATTCACACCATTCTAGGGGTTGATTCCCCATTTTTTTCAGCCATCGTTCTTTTCAAACACCAGCTGGTTTCCCTGCATTTTTGATGGTTTCCTGAAAAGAAGGATCCCTGGCAAGAATGGGGAAGGTAGCCCTAGAACCATGGGGTTGCCTTTGCCAAATAACAATATCGAGCACGGGTTCGGATGGACTCGGAAGCTTTGCTGCAGCGGGTGGACGCTCTCTTCCACGCCAGCGGCTGCGCGACCGACGCGCAGGCGCTCACGGAACTGGCAACGCAGGGCGCGGACGGGGCGGCGTCTCGGCCGAGCGGGTGGCGTTTTTTTTTGGCTAGGACTTCACAAGGGGGTGGTGGGAATGAACCGGAAGGAGTTTCCTGAAAGGAGACCACAGAGCATGGTTCATGTGTGTGTTTTTTCTCCCCCCGACTTGAATAGGGACCCGTTCAAGATGAGCCAGTTTGGCCATTTGAAGCAGGGCTGGGTCAATGGGACACCACCATTTTGTTGGGTGCTTGCTCAGTAAGAACCCCTGTTGCACGATATCACCCCTGAAAGTCCTTTAGGGGATCCCTTGCATGCAGTGCGGGAAGCACTAGCAACTTGCCCAGGTGGCTACTCACTCCCTGACTTCCTGGAGTTCACATTTTGTGGTAAGGCCATGTGAGTGGCCTTACCAAAAAGTGTCCACTGCTGTTGATCAATCCACTCGATTGGAAGTACTTGCCGGCGAACAAGGAAGCCAGAGGGGTCCCTTTAGAGAAGCATGATCTTCAGAGGCCCCCAAGTAGGTTTCTTTTTGAGAGTGGACCATTTGCACCAAAGGCGGGGGGCAAATGAGCGGCCCAGAATGAGGGTCCCTAACTCGGGGATTTCTCATGTTCAATTTGTAAAGGAAAGCGATTGGTGCAGTCGGCTATGATGCTCAATCGTCGGAACACCTCAAATAGTTCGTGGACATATATAGATCTCTGCGTAAATGAGTTCCGAAGGGCCCCAGTCGAGTTCATATCCACATGTGCCATGGTCAAGCTCTCACTTTTGTTTGGGGCTTGCAGGGACAGTCATCAAGTCCTGGATAAATAGTTTAGATAGCAACCATGACACATGGTGGGCCATGGTTGTGGTTTCCAATGGTTTATCTAAATCCTTGGACATAGTTCAGATAACCAACAGTTTATGTAAGCATTGGAAAAACCGGATTCCTTGTCCAAGTTGCCAATAATTCCCGGAGTGCGTGTCCATGTCTCGATGGCTCAGGGTAGCGCCCAGATGCTGCCGAGGGGCCCCGAGTGTTTTTTTGCTCCTCCTCTTGTGCAAATAGAGTCTTCATGACCCGAATCAAAAATGGTTGGTGATGACCCCTTTGTTTTGGCGAATGCTCAACCATTTCTTGAGGGTCAGAAGGAGACTCCAGGTAGGTTTGCAGCGGGGCCGTAGGCAGGGGTCCACGGTCGTCGGTCGGTCGGTTGGTCGGTTGGTCGGTTGGTCCGTGGGTGTTTTTTGTTCTTGGTTTTCGCGGATTCTGGCATGCTTTTGGCTTTCCGCATCCTCAGTAGATCTCAGTAGCATCACTGCCAGGATAGTGTTTGCAAGCCGCCGGAGACCATCACTAAACAATCCCGAAACCACAAACCACCAAACGTCAACCCTAAACAAACCCTTCGCAAACCCTGTACCGACCCTAAACCCACCCGAAACCCACGTTAAACCAGCAGTAAAGATCTTTGCGAGGCGAGCACAAGGGGCTTCTTTCTGAGACGCTGCGTCTCAGGTCAAATCTGGAGCTGTCGCTTCCTCCATTGTCTACGGCGAGCTGCTGTCTCCCTTGAGCGTGTTTCAGCTCCTGGACCTCAACCAGGAGCAAATCTCCACCTGGGAAGCCTGGAAATGTGAGAAAGTGGGGTGCAGGGGCCAAACGTCACCTAGGTCCCCCAGTAGTGCCCTTCTCTCCCCTTTTTTGGGTGGGGAGGGTTCCCCTTTTGTTTGGACTACAGAAAAAAAGGGTACCCTTGTTCTAACCTCTCTACTGGATGACCTAGTCACCTTGCCCCACCTTGTTGGGTACTGTGGTTCTTCCAGGCATACAGTGGAGGGGGGCTACCACGTTTTGTCCAGGGGATGACTGGTTTTCGGGATCTCTTTCTCCAGGCACAGCTCTTTAATTGTCACATCCCCTGAGTCCTTTTCATGACTCTGAGGGAACTCGACAGACCATACACACCATACACACCATGTATCCATCTCCATGTATCCATCTCCATGTATCCATCTCTACGTCTATCTATCTTTTCCGCCATCGGAGCAAGCTATTCGGGGTGAGAGGCTGAGGCTGGTTGAGATGAGGAGTTGACCCAACCCGGAAGCAGTTTTGAGATGTTCAACCACCTAGGTCGCAAGTCACAGTTAGACGCCTTCTAGAACTGGTTAGAAGAGCCCAAATCACCATGGGTAAGATATGCGCGCCAAGCGGGTTAAGGTCCAAGTGACTATAGCGATGGCCCAAAGGAGAGTCGTAGCCTGGACTATCAAGCGGTTCTGAGCACAGCTTCGGGTTCGCAGGTAGTTCGCAGCTTTGAGTTCCTGGACTATAGGCCCTTTTTGGGCTTGGATCGGTTTACTGCTTGCACAAAAAGTTGGGTGACCTTTTCTGGCCACCGCATGGGAAGGATCCGCGCGACCTCGCGTAACCTTTGCAGGAGGACACCTTCTACGATCTGGGAAGCGGGCGCGGGCAGGCTTGGCAGTGGCAGGATACAAAGCGAAGTGAAACTGGTGCCATCTACTTTCACCACACCATGAGGACCCCTTTTTTAGAATTTGGTTTGATGAATTGTTTTGATTCAGATACCACAGCAGCACGGCCAGCCAAAAGCATCGTATTTGCGCCCTGTGTTCATCGGCGCAGCTTGTAGGAGGCATGGTCAAGGCCTTGAAAAACGGAGGTCCTGTAAGTTTCCTCTTCACCATTTTGACACGAGCACAATCCTCCAACCCTTCAAGGGTGTGGCTCAATATCCCGAAGCGTATGGTGCTCTCAAAAGAACAAGGCACCTGTGTGCGGTATGCTTTGGGATTCGCTTTCAAAGCAGCAAAGGAGGGCCTCTGTTGGAAACATCCTGTTGCCTGTCAAGCATTCGTGTTGGAGCCATGACTCCCATGAGAGCAGCGCTTGGCAACTGCAAAGTTGGGCCAAATATGTGGTTGGAAACACCCGCATAATCCCTACAGGCGTTCCGTTATGGTGTTCAACATCACATTTGGGAAACGCCGCGTTTTGAGGGTTGGTGATGTTTGGGGAATAACGCCAAAAACGATGAGGAGAGCTTTTCTACCAACTATTCGCTCCTCCTAAACGCTATTGATTTCTGGCATGGTGCGACACAATCAACCAACAGGGAAACACCAGCTTTGCTTTGCTAAGCTTGGCCGCTATTCTGTTCGATCCAAAGTAACCATAATTTGTTCGGAAGTACCCAACCATAACTTTACAGGTGTCCTCCAGTTGGCCAGTGGTGCCCTTTTTTCCTTTTTTTGGAAGGGTTCCCTTTTAAAGTCAACCAACCAAACAGTCGGATGCCGAGTCTTTTTTGCCCCTGGAAATCCACTGGGCATCTGAGGTCCTCATCGTGCCCCTTTTTTAGAAGGGTCATGCCTTCGAGTCTTTGAAAGCGGTGCTTGTTTTTGTGTGAAGCAAAGTGACCCCAGTGCTATCCCCTTGCTCAATTTCTTTCTTCCCGGGCCTCCCTTTCATTCAAATGCACCAGAGAAGGAAACCGGAACACGTCCTTTCCCCCACGAGAAAACCAAGTCTTACCCAACCTCCCTATATGTCATGGACCCAAATTATAGCAAACGGGACCCACCCGCCCTTTTGTTGTTTGCTAGGGGCAATATGAATGTGGCTCAAAAGGAGAGAGCACACTGCGGTTGGAGCCCTTTCAATCGTCCCCCGAAAACCAATCAAACAGTGGATTCCCGCCCTTCCTGAAAATCAATAAATGAATAAATAAATAAATAAATATATATATAATGTATACTTGGTTGAGTTGAGGTGAAACCAAAGGGATGTAGGTTCTTTGCTAGAGGGATCTTCACGATGTTGGGGGGGGAGGGGTGACTTTCGTCCACACCATCAAAAAGTGGAACCACTTCCCCCACATTCCGAGCCGGGCTCTGCAGGTGAGCCAAAATCAACAGCCCCGAGCCCAGATGCCCAGTGGATTCCGCCCCTTTTTTCTTCTTTTTTTGGGAAGGGGTTCCCCTTCAAAGTCAACCAACCAGAAAAGGATGCCGATCCTTTCTTTCCCATAGAAATCCACTGGGCATCTGAGTGAAAATTAGAGGGTACACATGTCAGTGCACGATTCTTCAACCCCACGCGGTGAACGGTTTCCCCTTTTCTTCATGGTTGTTGGGAAACATGTTACATTGTGCTTATTGTGGTTTAATGAGAAATCCCCACTTGACTGCTAAAAAATATATTTTTGCTCCCCTTCCAACGTCAACCAAGTTTTCCTTTCCAGATTCCCACTACTGAAGCCATGGGCCAAAGCTTGCCAAAGGAAAACCGGTCTCCCAATAACTGTCTGTTGGGTCTCCCAACGACTGTCCCCCCCTTTGCTTTGTTTGTGCTTGAACCAATGCAATGCCACAAGTAAACCCCTGCAGCTTCCCAATTGGCTGGGAGGAGCCAGAAGTACTCCTTGTCGACCTTCGGGGCGGGGCTTTGCTAATTTAGCGGTAACCACTTCTACAGCTCCAACCACCGTTTTTTGGTGCGGCCACCCTGTTTTGGTTGTCTGCTTTTACACGGACGTCGATGATCTTCAGTATGGGAAACCCCTCCTCAACCACCAAATCACTGGGCAAAGCACCAACAAGCGGAAGCTGACAACTAGACGAGTTGACTATTTTTGAGGGAGAAAAACGCCTGATTAAGCCCTCAATTAGGGAGGGAAGGGGAGGAATCAACCCAGGACCATGGTTGCCAGGATGTTTGATCATGGGCTGGGGAGGGAGGGAGCCCAAAGAGACAACGTATTAATCAGGCCTCACTTCAGGGCTTAGTTGAACTCCCCCGCTTCCTCCCCCCAGCCCCCATGAACATACGTGTCCTTGGTTGATCTGGTTGAAAAATAGAGGACGATTCCTGGTTTGCCTGGTGGTTCAATCAACTACCAGGGCCATCCACTCAGTTGTTCAGTGGCACCCTTTTCCCTTGTTTTTGGTGGCTGCCCAAAAGGGCTCCCTTTTTTTCCAGGGTCACGGTTCAGTGGCACCCTTTTCCCTTTTTTTTTGGTGGCTGCCCCACTAAAAATTGTCTTCCCCCGAAAAAGGGCTCCCTTTTTTTTCGGGATCAGTGGCACACTTTTCCCCTTTTTTTTTGGGGTGGCTGCCCCACTAAAAATGGTCCAAGCCCCAAAAAAGGGCTCCCTTTTTTCAACTGAGTGGGTTTTCCGGTTTCAAAGGGTTTGGTGACAAGAAAATCGGTCCATTTTCTCAAAAAAAAGGCACCTATGCCCATGACAGGTTTACGTCGGTGCCGCAGGTCGTTCTCGCCGCGGCCTTCGCCGGAGTTTCCCAGCGCGCGGTGGGGGTGGAGCTGCTTGAAGCGAGGCACCAGGCACCCGTCCATTGAGGTCTTGGGACGGCCATGTAAGACGGGTGGCTGACCTTGTTCTTCCGTTTCTTCGCTGGGGTCATGTTTATGTGTACCATTTTCATTGATTCGTATTGATGTACTTAGGATACAGTTTTATTACATTTTACCAGTGACTCAAAGTGAAGCAAACAATAAAATATACATTATGTAAGTGGCCTAACTGCAATCATGTTCACTGTTATTGTCGTTTCTTCACAGTTGACTGTTCTTGGCTCAAGCCTTTGTGTTTTGGGGTTGTGTGGTTCTGTTCACGCAAGCAAAGACAGCGTTTTTGCTACCGTATATACCAAGGGTTGTGAAGATTTGGTTGTGTTTTTTTGGGATCGGAGCCACCAATATGGCGGTTTTCGGTTTTCCTCTTGGCTTCCCCTTGAAAACAGAACAAACAACGGGTAACTCAAAACGAGCGACCCATTTGAGGTTGGGCATGAGCCCGCGATTTTGTCTCTCACATTTGCCGGATCATCAAAGTGTTGTGCCGCAGCTTGTTGGTTTTCTTGCAGGGAGCCACAGTTCTAGGGGTACCTTCCATTTCCATTCTTTTCAGGAATCCTTTCTAGAAAACCTTCAGAAACCCAGGGAAACGGCTGGCTATTGAACAGAACGGTGGTTGAAAAGAATGGACAAGGAATCAACCCCTAGAGCAGCAGCATGCCTTTCGGGGAATACTACTAGTACTTTCTGGGCGGAAACTCATCGGTCACCGCACAGAATGACATGCCTCAGGAAATCCCTGCGTGAGGCGAGGAACAGCTATCAAAAACAGGACTCGCCTCATCCCTCAGAGTTTCAGTAGCGCTCAGAAGGCTCGGAATGACCCGTTTGGGAATCACTTTGCGGGCCCTCCGAAAAAGCACAAGCAGCTCAGCATCAACATGCAGATAGGTTCCTCACATGCGCACTCGAATCTTCCGCCCCCCACCTTCCCGCCCCAATCCCATCCCTATCCCCATCCCTATCCCCATCCCTCCCCCCCAGCACCCCAGCTTCCCACACCCCCTCACCCTTACCTCATCCCCAGCCTCAGCCCCATCCCCAACCCCCACCCACATCCCTCCCCTTCGACACCTATCCGCCGCATCGGCGGTTCGTCGGTGCTTTGCCCCAGGCGGCGCTGGGCGCGAAGGCTGTGGCCCCCGAGGAGGTGCAGAGGCGCCGCCCGTCGCCCGACCTCTCGCCACCTGGGCGGCTCGTTTTTGCGTTTTTTTCGTTGGTTCCCTCCCACCAACAAACATAGCAGCTGCGGGAGGGTACCTGGAAGAGGGTTTTCCTCTTGAAAATACCCTGTGTCAGTAGCCATGTTAGTGGGAGGGACCTTGTTGGGCGGTTTCAAAGGGAAAGCCAAAGGGGACACCGCCATTTTGGGTGACAACTGCTCAATTTTTGCTGGAGCCGGAAAGCACACAAACCGAAGGAAAAAACGGTGTCATTGAACTACCGAAGGTCGGATCTAGCTTTGCAGACGATGTAGGGACCTTTTGCTCAGACTAGGCTGACTGGGCTTCGAAGCTCCGCACAAACAATCCACGGCCAAGAGGGTTCACAGCGCCCACATTTTTACACTCCGAATGGGTCAAAGATTAAGAGGATGTTTGTCTTGCCTACATGGAACCCAGTTAAATACTTACCTCTTAAAAACACAACTTTTCAACTTTCTGGGTAACATGGGCTACTTGTATGTAAAAGATTAACTTCCCCAGGGCTTGGAGTTTTAAGGGGTAAGAATAAGTCCCTGGCTGACCAGGGGATGCTTCACTTTGGGGCGACACAGCCCTAGGACTTCCGGCCAGGCGAGACGTCCAAGGCGAACCCTCCAAAAAAGGGGAGCCATCCGTACATAGACACAATGCCAATTTTATATACTGTGGATGGACGACATCCACTTCGCACCCAAGAACCCTGTTTTTGTTTTTTGTTTTTTTCCTGAGGATTCCGAACCCTGTAAATGCCAACAAACGTTGTGGCTTCAACCATGGTTTCATTTCGTGGCCTAAGAGGATTTCGCAACCACAGTATGTGCCAGTTTGCAAATTTGCTGGGATGATAAGTAGATGAAAAGCTTGAGGGGCCCATTGAGGGGTTGAACATTGACCAAGTGCGGGGGATCTTGGGGCAGATTTCCGCGAGGGAAGACTCAGGAGAACCATTGGGGAAGATCTCGGCAGGACTTGCGAACTGGGCAGCGGATCCTTCCCCTATTTCTGACTGTGCCCCGGTGCTTGCCAAAATGCAAAAATGCAGAAAGAAGTCAAAAGAGAGTCCAGAAGAGGAGATTCCTCCAAAGCCAAGTGCAGGCAAGTATTCATTGCAAGTCCTGGTTTATGAGTTTCTTGTGGCAATATGGGCGTTCACAGGAGCAAGAGGCGACAGTACCGGGTACCTTGTTTGGGCGGATCAGTTTCTGCAGGACGGTTTTAATATATTTTAAGGTTGTCTCTTAGAAGTAATTAATCATTTGGACAAACAGAGTCGCTTAGTTCAATGTTTCAATGTTGTCTCTTAATTAGCAAACAAAAAGTGTTGACTTTGTTTGGCCCATCCACTCAGAAAGCGAGGATGCCCTTTTTGCAGGCAGTGCGACTTCCGCTGCCAAGATGCGCTCACCTGCGATTTGCAGGCCTGCAAGTGCGACCTCAGAGAGGGGGGGCAGCTTTTTGGGTTTGTGTCCACCATTCCTTCATTTGAGTGTGTCTCCATATTGAGAGGCCTCAAAACGGGGTGTGTTCGGCGATGGCCTGGACATTGGATCCATCTCTCCCCCAGAAAAGCTCCCACAACATGTCACCGAGCCTGCATCACGACCAAGCCCCATGAGGCTTCTTGGGCAACCCAACGCTCACAGGGAAATGTGGCACGCGCACGAAATGGCTCCCCAATCAAAAGGTCCTCACTTCTGGACCTGTCTCGACCTTGCTCCTCTCAAGGGCCAATTCTTCAGATATGAGTTGGTCTAGATTCAGGTGCAACAAATCACCGTGGGTGGGTCGTCTTTCGTTTTTGAGATGGTACCCTTTTGATCGGTTTTAAACGGAATCTAAAAAGGGCACCAACCATTTTGGGGTAACCCTATTTTGAGACATACCGACGTGTCGTTGTCTTTGAGGCTACCCTGTTTGGGCCGGAGCGTTTGGGCGTTGTATTGAAGGGAGCACGCAAAAAGTACATGATGCGCTGCACGTGAAGATTCATGAAACTTGGACACCCCAAACCATATATGACCTCCCCGCGCCCAGCTGTTAGCTTGGTCAATTCAGCCCGTGCTCAAGCCATCTATGCAGAACCTTGCAGGCACGCAGCATTTTTTAGCATCCCGAGACCGGGCTCGACCAACAGCAGAGGATGCCCCGCAAGCCACATTGCAAGTAAGCCATTTCCATGTCAACAAAACCATGGCTATAGTAAATCACGGTAGTTTAGCGGGGGTGAGAGGGGAGTTCCCTTGCAATATTGGTGCGTCTGATTTCCAGCACCCCCTTAGTTTTTTAGCTTTTTCAGGTTTAGTGGTAGTTTCCATTTAGCCAATAAAAGTTAAACTCTTAGAAGGGGATCTGAGGGCAGCCCGGCTGCAGCTGTCACAGCTCCTTGGTGCAGTAATTATCTACAGTAGAATCTACAGTGCGAACAAGGGGCCGACTATTTAGAAAGGTGCAGTTCCAAATCCTGAAAGATGCATTTTGTTAACCTTCATAAATCCTTTTTCAGCTCAGGTCATAGCGGTGTCGGGCGCTTCTTCGAGCGCCGTTTTCGGGTTCAGGACGCCAGCAAGGTTTACCTCTGCAATGCCGCCTTCCCGCGACATTTGAAGCTTGGCTCGAATCGCTCCCCAGTCTGGTGGCAGCTTTTTGTCCCGGGATCCCACAGGTGATCAACCCGTAACAGGCCTATCCTACCCTCCCACCAGTTCACACGGAACCTGACAGGGAAATGGTCCCCGTAAAAGGAAAATGGTCTCATTCCACTTCAGGTTCCGTGTGAAACGGGTGGGAGGGCAACTGCTTTTTTGGTCTAGGTGCCCTAGGCAGGGTCTTGATGTTTTGATTCCAGTGGTCCAGCTTCCAGTTGGACGACGCCAGTTTGAGCGTATTGTTTGCTGCTTCTTGCCCCGTAAGACCAGCCCTATCCTTTGGTTTCCGGCTGTGCCCGTTTCCGGTTTTCGGCCTTTCCCGGAGCTGTCCTTATATAAACTGTTTCCCTTCCCAAACGGAATGCTCCAACTTCGATTGGGTGTCTTTTTTTGACCGTACCCATTGTTTCGGTGGTTTTAAACGGAAACAAAGAGGAACCATTGTGTTGTTCTTTCTTTTTTTTTGCGAGGGGCTGCCCTAAAAAGCAACACCCATTTTATGCTTTTGCGTCTTTCATTTCTAGGTCCTGTGATTTCTGGGCACATCCCAGAATCCCAGCCAGCCCCTGAAACAGGTTGCAGCCAAAGGCAGGGTATGTGTCCGTCGCATTCAAAGCCAGCTTGTAGGTCGGTCGGACATGCAGGGAAACCTGCTCAATAATGACCCCCTTTCCTTTAGATGTGGCACATGATGAAGCTTCCTTTAACCCAGTTGATACAGCAGGGCTCCGCAAAAAAGATACATGTTGCAACCAGTTGAAACATGGCTCTTTCCACCAAAATAAAGGGACACCACCATTTACAAGGCAATGACCAGGCGTATAATGCATCCGGATCCCTGTTCAGAGCCCGCCCCCCCGGTTGATGAAGAAGGGCAGCTTGTGAGAGAAAAGCACACTGCTTGCCAATCCAGGCTGGTTCATCCGGACATCACAAGTCCAGAAACAAGAATATATACCAGCGTAGACCCCAAACAGATTGTAGGAACACCATGATGCACTACGCAGGTCAAGCCAACAACCATTTCTTGTGTCTTCTTGGGGGACATCCCAAAAGATGTTCGGAGAAAGACAGCCGTTCCGGCGATTCAACAGCGGCGATTCAAAACATGGAGCCCACCGCAGGGTTGCTGGAAGAGATTCTTGGACCCCGAAATCCGAAACCTCAGATTTCATCTTAGTCAAGAGCCTAACTCACTTCCTGAGTTCATGAACTTTAAACTTTTTGGGAAGACCATTTTAGTGGTAATTATAAAGTTTGAACTTCTTTGGGCCATCCACTCAGCCAGTGAGCTAAGCAGCGGCCTTCGCGCCTCCGCGCCTTCGCGCTCGGAGGAACGCCTCCTTCGCGCGGTCCCTGGGCCCATGGCGCGCGCCCAGGCTGGCGGCGCTGGCGACTTGCGCGGCGCTGCCTGAGGCGACCCGAGCTGTCGCGGACCTCGGCGTGGCGCTTTTTGCCAAGGGGATGTTGCATGGTTGTGGTTGGGAAACATCTCTAGCATTTTTGCTTATGGTGGTTTAGTGGTTGAAATCCAAATCCACTGAACTGCTAAAATTCAATTTTTTGGCTCCCCGTCCAACGTCGACCAAGGTTAGGACTTGAACTTTTTGCCAACTAATGAATTGGTTTTCCGTATCAAGCCACTAACAGTTAGTCACTTTGAGCAGGGGAGCAGAAAGCCACCGAGTCTAGGGTCACCTTTAAGGGTGGAGGAAAGCCGGCGTTTTTGGAGGGAACCCCCCTGTTTTTGGGGCTTTTGAAGAGCAACCAATCGGGGGTAGCCTAAAAAAGACAGCCCCATGACAAATTTATATGGATTCTCCGTGCACGAGCCAAGTTGTTGCTCTCTGCCTTTGGTTTCCGTTGTGAATTGCCAGTTCCCAGCTTGCCTTTTGCGCGTAGTCTTGGTGCTCAATCCCCGGCCCCCATATTGTGAAATTTCCTCGCTATTATGTTTCATGAACATATAGGTCCCAGGGGGTTTCACCACCATGGAGTCTCCTTTGGCCGGGCTCAAAAAAGAAGTCAAAACCGTAATCTGCCAAAGGAGCTCAAATGGACTTGCTCAATGTACTTTTGGATTTGTCAATTGAAATGTAAAAGGCTAAACAGAAAAATAACATCAACTCAAATGGCCATTGGGCCATGCTCTACAGTGTGATCAGGTGCCCCTACATGGAATCGCAATGCCATAGGTTCCCTTCCTAGCCTGGACTGTTTGCATACTTACATTTGGCTCAAGGCAAAAGTCCGCGGGCGGGGGCGTCGAATCCGTTAAGTGTTCCTCGTTTGCGGTTGCCATAGCACACACTGGAATTTGTCACTTGACAGTTTATACAACTGGGTTCAGGCGGCGAATTCTTTTGGTTATCAGCCGAATCGCAACGGCTTATTCCTTGCAGCTTGGGACGACTACTTGATTTTGAGTCAGCAGCTATACGAGCCGCACTTGATCTTATTGGGTACAGTTCACGGGCTTTGGGGAAGGCACACTCGACAGCTTGGAGGGCCCCGCCAGAGTGCATCACTTTACAATGACCGCAACATTCTTCAAGGAACCAAATGCAACAGAATCCTTCCCTATAAACGGCTTCTATGAATACTTTCAACCACAGAGAATGGGCGTTCAAGCGGACTACCTGATTCCAAGGTTAATTTCTGCCTCGCGGCGAACACAAAAACACTCTAGCCAGCCAGGCTGCGACACATGATCCAGAACGCGGCTGTCAAAGCCTGGGAGCGACATTGATGGACAGTAGCCAGACCCAGCGCACCGCCGAGAAGACTGTGAACAATCTCTGCCTGTTTCCTGAGGTGAAGCAAACTCAAAGGCACGCCAGCACAATTCAATCCCCGAGATGCAAGCCAAACATGGCCCCCCAACCAAGACAGACGGCACTTACTCAACTGCTTCATGGCGCCTACAGGCGGCAGCCTTCACGGAATTCGTCTTCGCAAATCGTAGGAGAAATTCGTCTACGGGAATTCGCCTTCGCAATTCATCTTCACGAGGAACGCAGCTTCGGGAGCGAGCTTGGCTTCGGCGAATTCGTCTCTGCAATGTGTCTTCGTAAATTCGTCTTCGGGGTGGAATTCGGCCTCGGGGCGCAGTTCGGCTTCGGCAATCCGTCTTCGCGGTTCCTCTTTGTTTCTGAGAGCCTTGGGCGAATGTGTCTTCAGAATTCGTCTTCGTTTGCGGGTGGAAAAGTACGCCCCAGCGGCCACAATGACTCCTTGCATCCATGTGTCGGCATTGGCAGACTGTGGCGGTGGGAACCGCCAAGCCACGAGTACGCGGAAAAGTCGTCATCACTCTTGCGGCCACCGGGGGTCTCGGTCTCCGGCCACCTCTCACTGCGGGTCTCGGTCTCCGCCGGCCACCTCCCACTGCGGGTCTCGGTCTCCGGCCACCATGACCAGTCGTCGTCCCGTTGCTGCCATGGGGATTGGGGCCAGCCGCTTCCCCACGGTGTTCCCCACGACATGGTGTGCGAAGTGCGACAAACAAATCTCGAAACGAAATGCTACAATCCATCGCAGAAAGCAAGCTTGGCGCAACATCCCCTCTTGGCGACCCTGTTGGCATAAGGCCCCGCCAAACATGGCCCCGCTTCAGTAACCAAGGTCCCTGCCCTACGTTCCCAAGTATGTTTCCCGAATGAGAAGAGCGCCACGCCATGGTATCCCACTTGCCATTGTCAAACTCACCAACTTTTTATGGCTGGAAGGCCCTGACTTGCGCAGGCCCCGCTGCATCAGCTAGTCGCCAATATCCCTAAGCCAGTTCCCTGGAAGCAGCCAACCCGACTAACGACCGCAACACAATTTCCAAGAGCCTTAAAAGAATGGCAGGAATGGCCCGCTGCAGCTTCGCAGCTGCCTCCTCCAAGCGCGCTGTCTCAAAATTGATCCACGCAATCTAGCGCCGCACGCGGCGCAGATGTTCCAATAGCACGCGCTCTTGGTCTGATAAGCCTGCCAAGACCCGGCTGGGGGATGCGGCCGCACCAGCGCGCTGAGCACTGACATTAGCACCGAGCCAGTCACAGATTGCCAGTTGCTAGGAGGATCTCCTGAGCACAGACGGAAGCACGACGTCTGCCTAAAAACATTGGGGGCAAGCTCGGCTCTCGAAGAAACAACGCTAACCTTATGCCTCGCAGACCTACAGCTGAAATGCTTTTCTTTACCAAATCCACTGCGAAACCCTACGAAAGCAATCTGTGTTAGGGCATCCTTAGTTGGCTAGAGTCAATCGTTGTGACCACAAGGTGTTTGGGACCACTGTTTGGGCATGGGTGTTTTGGACCATGAGTGTCTCAAACCAGCCCCTTGGGCACTGAAAAAACGCACAGAGCACTGCGAACAACACTAAGAAACGAGCAATGTCTAAAAGTACCCCGGATTGAAACTCATGTCAACACCAATAGTTGCCTGCCAAGGGGGCCCTTGGGTTTCGGCAGCAAAAGCAAGAAACGGGTCTAGGCAAGTAAAGCCCATCCCCATCTTGTGGATACTTGTAGTGTCCGAATATTCAAGCATCAAGCCCTTCACCAGGTCATGGTCTACAATATATATATATATATGGGTTATATATATATATAATTATATACAAGAATAATTTAAATGGCCATCCCTACCCCCAGTCGCTCATGAGATCCCACCTCCAAAGGCGGCACACAGGCACCGAAAACGGACCCTGAAAAAATGAACTATTGCCAGCCCCGCGTCAAAGGATATTTTCAGACCATGCACACACCACAGTCGGATGCGTCGATCGACGCAATCCATGGACACTCCTTCAGCATCGCCACATCGGTGGAGCGAAAAATGGTGAGGGGGTCAAAGGCTTTGCGGACCTTCTTCACTCCTGACGCTTAGCGGGCCTCAAATTGGGGTTATTAATTAATATCCAATTACTGGAGCTTTCATTCTACAGAAAATTGCGTTTTCAAACTTCCAGCAACAACAAGGAATTCCTTGTCATATTTTCCTGTAGCTATCTTCTTCAAAGCTTGGGCGTTCCTTGTCGCCTACCTTGGTCCCGGAAGAATGCCCAACAATGCAAGTGTGTCGCGGGGAGAAAAAAGGGATCCCTGTGTTTGTTGGTCGGTTTTGAAGTGAAGGGAAACAAGAAGGGAAAAACACGACCCCTCTCAACATCCCATAAAAATCCTATCGGCGCCACCTTCCCTCGTGCAGAAGCCGCTAGCAAGCGTCCGAGCTGAGCCCGTGCACGCCATTGTCGGACAATTGTGAGTCTTGATAGGATCATGAAACTGGGGGCCTGGTGCAAAAGAGCCTTTCAGGTCGACCAACCAAGAAATGGCATTCGTTTTATTTTTGTCTCGCCTCAAAACCTAGAGGGCAACCATGATGGTTTTTGTTTGTCTGCTTGAAACTCTGGAAGTCAAATCAGTATTTGCGGTTGCCAACCAGTCTGCGGCTTGCTGGCCAGTTGCGCGCGAGTTGCTACGAGAAGTGCGCGTCATGCTTGGCATGCGCCTCTCCAGTGGTGCAAACACATTGCGCATTCTTACGTTATGTGATTTTCATCTTTTATGTCGTGTGTGTGTTCACTATCAACAAGCCTGTCCCTTGCTGATGCCCTCACTAACATGGCAGCTGCTGGATCCTTTTTGCATGGCTGGGCCTGGTCCTGTCTGGCCTAGGACTCCTCCCGCCGTTCATACTGGCACGGGTCAAAACTTAATCACCAGGTGACTGCAGGTTTTAGTCATTGTTTCGCATTTAGACCTCTTTTTGACCAGCGTGAATACAAGCAAACTAATCGCTGGCGACCTCCACGTCTTCCTCTTCCTCGTCGATCTCGAGAGCCACTGCCTCCAGGACATCGTCTGCAGTGTCCACAACTGCTCCATCATCGATCAGCCGCAGGCGTTGTGTCGCCGACGCACCGCCAGCTGCGCCCGCAACTGCTGAAGGGGCGGCCACCGCTGAGACCACCGCCGCGGGCGCACCACCGGCTGCACTCACAACTGCCGTTGGGGCGGCCACCGCTGAGACCACCGCCGCGGGCGCACCACCGGCTGCACCCACAACTGCCGGCGGGGCGGCCGCCGCTGAGACCACCGCTGAGGGTCCCTTTAGCACCTGCTCGGTGATGGCGGACACCAAAGCGGCCTTGTCGTCGGCTCCACCACCCTCGGCGGTGCAAAAGCAGCCCCAGCCTTGTCGTCGGGTTTTGGGCTTGGCCGTCCACCACCCTTGACGGCCTCGGCCTCTGGGCTTGAGCATCCACCCCGGCCCCTGGCCTCTCAGCAGCCGCGCCCCCTGCGAATTGCGAATGCAGCTCCGGCCTTGTTGTCGGTCTCTGCCTTGAGCCACCACCCAATGGCCGGGCAGTGACTCCGGCTGAGCTTTCTTTGCCTTCTCAGGCGTGACAAAGACCCGTAGAGCTGGATGGAGTGGCAGCTGCTCCTGCGGTGTGCTGGCACTGCTTCGGGCCGGGGAGGCCTCTAAACGGCGGGCGGCAAGCTCAGCCTCTGCAGCGGCCCGCTTTGCCAAAGCGACTTTGCGTCGCTTTTCCTGGCGCCACTGACAAACACACAGGGTGACTCTCTTTTGAAGAACAATACCCGAAAAAAAGTAGCCCTTGCTTTTCTCTGCCGGGAAAGGCCTTGAAGCAATGTGAAATGTGGTTCATAAAATGACGCAAACTTATTACCCTGGCCGCTTTGGTTTGCAGCTCAGCGACTCAAAAGCACTGAGCACTCCCTGCTGTGCGAACAGATGGCCCCATCATTGCAAACATAGACTTTGCCTTTGTGCATTTGGGTTACTGATGTTCACGCCCTCAGTGGGGCTTCCGTGGCCCACCTTGCGCCGCAGAAACGGCGGCCCCCCTTGCGAATTCGAGCTCAACGACCCAACTCAGCAGCCGAGCGGCAGCGTGTTCCAGCTCTTCATCTGTGGTGCGAGGCTTCAAAACGTGCTCGCTGTCGCCACGTCCTTGCTTGCGCGGCTGGCTTACGAACAACGCCGTGACCGCTGTCCATCCCAAAGCATTCCCGAGCAAATCCCAAACAACAAGCAAAATGCCCAGCCCTTCCTTGCCTGCGTTGCCGCGCCAGTCTGCTCGGGCCCGCTTCGAGTCCTTCGGCACGGGCATTCCCGCTTTCAAGGCAGCCTGGATCATAGCCTCTTGCTCCCACGCGTGTGCTCGGAAGAACTGCTTCAAGTCATTGAGGCAGGCATCGGAGGCGTGCGCCTTGTCGCGGCTCTCCTGGCGTTCTCCAAACTCCCGCTAAAAAACGCCCCTTAGAATTGCAAAAACTTCTGCCAGCCCACCCCTCAGAAGGAGTTTTTCTTCTGAAGCAGCTGACATGTGGCAGGCCCAGGGCGTTCTCTAACAAACATCTTCAATCTTCGCGACCATGTCCTCCAACATCTGAACGACGCTCTGCTGGCAGTTGCCGAGGGCAGCGATGGACGTGGATGGGGCAACTATGCCTGGCTAGGCCGGCGGCTGCACACACTGTTCGAACCTGCGGCCGCTCTCAGTAAGGCGGCCTAAGGCCCAAACTTCGTTGTAAAAAGTTGTGCTTCTGAGTTGATGTTGCGCTATATAGTACTGGGGATGGATTTCGGCCTCGGCTGATCTGGCTTCCCCTTCTTACCCTTCCCCCTCACCCCCCCTCACCTCCAGCTGTGCATGGTGACTCCACTTGCATGCTTCTATCAGACTTGGTTGTGTGACTGCGTGATCGTGCTTGTGTTGCGTGTGTTTGGTTTTGCGTGAGTGCGTTGGGCGGTCGCTGCAGCTGGATACGATTCTTCGGTCTGATGGTGTGGTACTGAAAATTGTCGTCTCTGCTAAAAGTGGATCGCAGAATGACATGTGGCCAACACTCGTTTTTTCGATTGGCCTATGCTAAGCCCCCAAAGTTCGCAAGCATGCTAGACGCACTTGGGGACATTGGGTATAGTTGACGAGCTTTTGGGAATCTCCGATTTGTATGCAATCGGAGCAGCAGCGCGACAAGCGTTTCCGAGCAGACGGGTTACCTTGGACGAGATGCAAGAGAGCCGGGAACCCTGATTGCCCATCACAGCAGAAGGGCAGACGCCGGATTGAGCAATCATCTTCATCTGCAACAACATCCCATCGCGGGCCACCGGCCGACTTCGATCTTCTTGACATTTCCGAGGCTATCAGGACAGCTCCCTGGAGATCTACGGAGGAGCTTTGAGGCATCGGCAGTCTGGGAGGAAGAGGAGGAGGTAGATGTCGAGGTTCCGGAGGAGGAGGAGCAGATTGCGGAGGAGGAGGGATCAATCGAAGAAATCGAGGAAGTTTGCGTTGTGAGTGACGAAGAGCTAGCAGAGCCAACAGAGCCAGCAGAGCCGACAGAGCCAGCGGAGCCTTCGTTTCCTTCACAGCCAACTTTGCAGATCGCGGTGGACCGATCGACGCCAACTTTGGAGGAAGCATATCTTCTTGAGTGTTGTGCGCAGGACTACTTGCGAGGCAGTTGGAAGCCGGAGCAGACATTGTTTCTCGACGAGAGGCCGTATTACAATTGCTTCTTTGAGCGGAGACTTGAAGTACTGAAACAGCACAAGGCAAAGCGGCACGCGGTCAGGCAATTGGCGAGACCATTCAACGGGCCTTCGGGTTTTTTGGGCATCACACCGGAGCAGGCACACTCTTGAGTTTAACGGCATCATTCCGGAGTTCGTCACTCGAAAGGTCAGGCAGTTGTTGGAATCGGGCCTTTGCACCCTGCAGATTGTATCATTTGTCGGGAGCCGCTATAGGAAGAGTTGACTAGCCAGGCGCACGCATCATCGGCTTTGTGGGACGTGCCCATTTCTTTCGTTTACTTGAAGTCCTGGCAGGACAGGCAGTATCCGAAACAAGTGGACACAAAGGCCGTTGCCGCATTGTCTGCAGGATCTCTGGTCTTGGTCGACGACTCCCGGATATTCTCAGCGAGTTCACTGAGCGTTGGAAGCGATACTTGGGAGAGTCGAATCCGGTTGGGGCATACAGGACAAGGAGCCCGTCGGACACAGCAACCTTTCCGGGCATCATCCTTGAGAGATTGCGGCGCGAGCAAGTGCAGTCAGCAGATGAACGCGC